CCCGCGGGGGTGCTAAGATCTTGCGGAGGTTTCCGATGCAGGAGGGAGTCCCATGTCCTTGGGTCGAGGTGGATTGCAGGCGTGGCTGGCTGGGCAAAGTGACTTGGACACTGGACAAATGATTGCGTGCTGTAGAAGGTGTCAGAGTACATGCAGAAAGAGTGAGTGAACTGAGGCCAAAGCATGTCGATTCCATTTGTGAAGTCTGCATAGACAGATTCTTCTAGTCTTATTGAGATGCTCCAACACCAAGTCCCTATGATTCATTATTCCATTACTCCAGCTGACTCCATTTCCAGTCAGACAAGACATACCCAAAGATACAGAGACCATATGCCCTTCCAGCAGTGACGAAGCAGAGATACAATAGGAAAACAGTTCAAGATGAGCAGTGACGTTTCGTGATATCCAGTTCTCCATAATCAAGGAAATACTGGTGCAGGACAGAAACGCTTTTAACTCCTGATGGCAACGCCTACGCCAAATTGTGATGTCCAAGAGTGTGCCGTATTAAGATTATGCCAAAGAGGCCTCCATATTGGCCCTCGTTTGAGAAATTAATGAGACAAGAGAAAAGTTTGGGCCAAATTGCCATCGTAAGACTGGCTATATAAAATCATCGACGAAAAGTCCGGGTATCAGCAAGAAGCGAAGGTCGACGTAGCAATAAATATGCTTTCAGGACTGAAGCTACTGCCCTCTGAAGTCACCAGGCCCCTGATTGGCAAAGATATAGCTCTTAGGTTGGGGTTCAGTCGTTCGCCGTAGTAGATTTCCATGTGAATCAGTGCCTTGAGGTGGAGTGTACTGGTGTACTAAAAAGTCGGGCATTGCGGAGACCTGAGGAGCGAAAGGAACGTTATGATGGATGCCACTCAATGACACGTCCTTGAATTCATCGTAGTGCATATTTCCAGCCTGCATATACTGTGAACCACTGTCATTGCCTTGAGTCTGAGCAGTGTCAGGTAGTGATGGTCGTCTGAAATGCTCAGGCTTCGGTTGCTGAATCGTAAGGTCGGTAGTCGAATGGAAAGCCGCACGCATTTGAGGTTGTTGCATATATGATGTCCGAGGGAAATGTTGCTGTGTTGCTGGCGCTGACTGAGGAGGCGTGTCGCGATACAAAGCATCGTTGACAAAGCGCGATTGAAGGTCCAAAGACGAGGATGGTGGTGAAGTGGTCTTCGCGATAACATTTCCAGCTTGGTCAGAAGACCAATTTGTGTGCATGCTCTCTGGACTATTGTGATCGGGTATCGCTGAGTGAGGCCTTATCACGGCAGCACCACCCCAGTAGTTTCCAAAATCCTGTGGTGTCAGTGGAGTTGGCGGTGCCAGACTACCGCCATGTCCGATTGTTGTAGCACTGGAAGTGGAAAATGTTCGTGCAAACTTCGGAGAAGCTGCAGCATCTGAGAAGCTTGACACCATAGGTGAGCGCTGCGCAGAACCTGGTTGTGACTTTTGAACACGACCTCCAGCGTTTGGAATCCCACTCGATCGAATCCTTCGAATAACTTTGTCACCGTTACCTCCTGGTGATGACATGGGAGCAGAGTAGGAAGCACTCCTCATTGCGCTGGAACTCAAGTTAACCGGGCGCTTCTGTCTTCTTGCTGCAATGCTTGATTGTTGATCTGGTGGCTGGAAACCATCCGGAGTGCTGTTTCGGATGTGTATCGCGTCCATGTTGTTGGCAAGGTTGCTGCTTGAGGAATTTCTCCGAGCGAATGCATCCTCGCGGAAGTGCAGTGGGATATCGAGATCAGATGGCGCCGCACTAAGCTTTCGTGCTTGTTCTGGTGTAGAGAGGATCGCATGTGCGGATGTGTTGGATTGTTGGTAGAAGTTTGACTGGGGGTACATTTGGCTGGAGCCATCCTGGGGCCAGAATGGAAGCGTCTGCTCGGAGGCTGATGCCTGAGCGAGACTGTACGGTGCGAACTGGTCCTCGGGCTCCTCGACCTGCTTGGGATGCGCCATTTGCGAAGGGTCCTCTGTCCAGCCAGTGTAAACGGAGTTCAACGAAGCGATAGAAGGAGGAGTTGGTCCATTCGGTGACTGAGTTGTGCCAGATGACTGGGTCCCATTGTAGGGCGATGCATCCGACGATATCGATCCCGTGCTTTGCTGGGCTTCCGCAGATGCCGAGTTGGTGGTGTTGGTAGCAGCAAGCGCAGAATAGTCTAGCTGGAAGTCGGCAAAGTTGTCGAATTCTGGATGTGAGGGTGCAAGATCGTTGGGCATGGGCGCTGGAACCGAGAAAGCGCTTAGCTCGCTGGAGTATGCGTTGGACAGACCGGTGGTGTCGTAGAACTCAGGCTCTTGGGTATTCAGAGACATGCCACTGTTGTGCATGTAAGCACCATTCGTTGCAGCCATGATGGAGTGCATGAGGTCGTTTGAGCGATATGATGCGGAACGGTCAGGTTCCGGAACGGAGGGAAGGCCATGCGGCATGTCAAACTGTTGCTGTTGTTGCTGCTGCTGCTGCTGCTGTTGGTGGTGGTGGTGGTGGTGGTGTTGCTGCAGTGAGAGTTGGGGCCCTAGGTCGAGGGCCGACGGTCCCTCGCCGATTTGCACGGGAAGGCTTGCAGGGCTAATATCAGCGTTCGGGTAGAAGTCCGGCTGCATGAGCATATGCGGGTGTTGCTGCTCTTGCGGGTGTGCATAATGGCTAGGCATGGCCGGGACGTGGGCATGACCGAAGGGAAGGCTCATGGTCATGTTGTACTGGTTCATTAGCTTCTTGCGGTCCTGCTTGACTTTTGCCCTGCGGTTCTGGAACCAGTTCTGTACGCGAGTTAGCGAGGCACGGCATGCGCGCTCTAGGGACGACTTGCGTTGATCTTGTCCAGTGGCACGCCGAGGCGCGTCGCAAATTCCTTCTTCACATTGGTGCTGGGCTTGTGTTGGGCCAGGAAGTGCTGTTCGAGGATGTCGTGCTGGTCCTTGGTGAGGCGGGGTTTGACATCGCTGCCGGGCTGCTTGGGCGCAGAGGGTGCTGTCGTCGAGCCCCCGCTGGAATCCATGGCGGCGCGCACAGCGACAATACACCTCGAGCGGCTTCGGACGGGCGCAAGTCAAGAGGCGACAGGTGCTGCAGTGAAGTCGTCGTCGTGGGCGCGTTCGGGTAGTGACAGGCAGTGGCAGCTATGGAAGGTAGATCTGGGGCGCTGGCGAAGGACAATAATGCGTAGAGCACGGATACACGGGATGCACCGAGACGGGTCGGGGCTGGGATATAGATGTGTGTCGAGGGAAGATGCCAGTAATGGTAGCGAGTGACGGTTACGAAGGGGAGCGGGAAACAACAGCGGTAGACTCTATATCTACAATAGAAAAACGAGGGTATTCAGCGCGACGGCGCGGTAGGAAAGGCACGAAGCGAACGACGACGGAGAAGAAGAGCAGGAGGAGCGATCAGGTTGTTGGCTGCCGCTTGGTTGGTCGGAGGTGCTAACGTGCTAAGCCACTGAACCCCCCAGCATGCATTATGCTGCTCCGGCACAAAAATAGTTTCGTGACACTGGCTGTCTCCGCTCAGCACACCTCGATCCTGGAGAACATGCACCTGGTGATTCGAGCTCTTGTTTCTTGCACCTGCTCGCCCTCGTGCACTGTGGTGGAGGGCTGCCACCCTTTCACAGACACTTCGACACGCAGCACTGGCCGGCAGCCTCAACCCCCGACGCGCTTCACGATTGCGCGCACAGGGGCACTCTGCTCCAAGGCGCCAATTGGCCCGGCCATGGAGCGAGCTGCGGCGGCGGCTGTGATCCGCCCTCGGGCGGGAGACATGTCCCACTGATTCGAAAGCGATGCATGGTGCTGCAGCTTGGGCCTTCCCCCGTTCGGAGAATATACATGAGTGCGAGAGAGCATGTCAATGCCATGCCCAAGCAGCCCTTCTCAACCACGTTGCACGTCAAAATGTCTAGTGACACATCCATGGCCGCAGCCATGGCTTCAACGTGGACTGCGGGCTCGAGCGCGCTTTTGAGCTCATGGCGTCAACACTGCGACTCGCCTTGTTGCCGACATGCCATGCCTCTCACGACTCGCCGAGTAGCTCTTTGTCAGTAACCGCTTCCGGTCCGAGTGAGTCGACCATCTGTGTGACGAGATGCCACCGGGCGCATGGCCAAGGGGCGTCTCGCGCCGCTGATCTGCTGCCTCGGATGTCGGCGCACATGTTTTGGCATCAAATGGACTGTTCCTGAGCGTACCTTGCAGCAAAGGGGCCTCAGTGCGACGTACGAAACTCAAATTGGCCCCGCCTCGTCCTACAGACTTTGTGTGTTGACTGACTTGGACAACGGACAATCCCAGCCTAGCTCCGAAGACTCAGTGCGCGCCCCAGCTGGGGGACCCGCTGGCCCAAACCAAAACATGTCGTGCTGCAAGGGCGTCCCTATCATCAGGCGATGCACCCTGCCGACTTATCAGACCTCCTCGCCAACCCGTCTGAACTTAGTCTTCTCTCCTCACTCCTACGCCAGCTGGTCGTGTCGCACCACAGCGACGGCACATCCAGCTGACGTCTTCGACTGCAGTAGTCTGGGTCGCCGTCATCTTTCTAGAAAGCTGTTCGCTGGGGGCTCAGCCTGCTCAGAATGGAGTATTTCATGCGATGCGATGCATTCCGCGACTCCCGTTCAGGGAGGATGATACGGCAAGTTGAACAAGGCTAGTACTCCAAGCGACCACACTTGCATGCTGGGGAAGGGTCGCCAGGCTGTGCATGCGTCAAGCACATTACAACCTCTGGACATTGTTGCTTCGCCGCACAATCGGTCCCCGACCTGATCTTCCGTCCAATCTACCGCTTATCGTGAGCTTCAATCGTCTGACTGCAGCTGAATTACCGATGCACGAGTACTTTGGGCTTGCAAGTAACCTGAAAGTGTCGAGTAAGCGCATCAACAACCCTGGCAAAGCACTGAGTCGTCCACACAAGAATGAGTAAGGACCTTGTCATTGTCGGCTCTTCTTGCCTAAACCAAGGCATTTTCTATCTGTATGGCTCCTTGCCCAGTCGTCTGTACCCAGGATTTCAGGGTGACACTGCGCATGTCCCTGACAATGTAATCTGCGCCCGCTTCTATCAGCTGTTCTAGTGTATGGGTTGTGTAGAGTCCCACCACTACGAACCCTGCTGCCTTGCCAGACCTAACGCCTGCGGGCGCATCTTCAAAGACAACGATGGAAGGTTCCTTTTCTTGGAGTCCCAGCTTCTTTGCGCCCATCTGATAGCACGCGGGGTCTGGCTTGCCGTTGAGTACATCTTCCGCCGTTACGAGATTCTTGGGATGCGCCAACTTCATGACATCAAGCCAGCCTTGCACAAGCGGCCGCGTGCCCGAGGTGACGATAGACCATGGAACGAGGTCTTCTTCGAGCCTGTCCAACAAGGCTCGCGAGCCGGGTATTTCAACTGCGTCTTGTCCAAACTCCTTTGGTATTAAGCCCTCGACATGGTTGACATCTTATCTGTCAGATGACTGCTTTTGTCAAAACAAAGACATAGTGCTTACACTCCATATTTGCGAGCTTCGGTTCGTAGATTTTAAGGACATCGATCGACCTTCGTCCATGCGATGTGGCGAGGATTACATTAGGATCGACGCCTATCTCTTTTCCAATCCTATGCAGATGTGTAAGCTTGTAGATGTGAAGAATATTCGACATGACTTACTTGTGCCAGTGCTTGACTATTGCATCCGTTGAGTCGATGATAGTACCACTGCCAACATCAGCTGTCTGCTAGCTAACAATGGCTTGGAGAATAAGACTTACTCCATATCAAAGAGCTGTAGGTAATCAGTTATCAGTATTAGTGGTCTACAATCCGACCAAAAGTGGTTCTTACCAGGCCATTGAATGTGACGGTTTTGGCCGGCGCCGAAAAAGAGGCCTCGGGTACAGTCATTGTGAAAATTTACAGGTATGTTCTATGAGCTAGCTGTGGACAGGATCAAGATGTTGCTGTGATATTGAAGACTTGAAGAGGGCCGATGTATATGAGATATCTGTAGTAGGGAAAGAGAATGCATTCCGGTGCTAACTGCATTAGGAAAGCTACCCGAAAGCAGCCAATCATGGTGACGACTGTTTGAACAAAGTTAGCCGCAACACTTCAGCCCATAGCTACGAGGACTAGTCTATGGATGAGGGTCCTATTCAGGAGTACCAGAGATTGATCTGCGCTTGTTTGCGTCCTGTCAGAGGATGTAAGAGTTGGGCTTGCCAGGGCCGCGGGGGTGGGGCTAAAGCTAACTAGGCGGACACGAGCGGCAGAACCTTCACGTGCCGAACTTTTTTTGGATTATCTCGAGCTTTTCTGGGAGACGAGTGCGACCAACATCTACCACGTCAACAATTCACTATGAAGGTCGGAAGTAAGGCCTTCCATGTCTCTGGACCTCAGAGTAGCACTGACACTCACTGCAGAGCCAAAATCGAAGCGCGTACCCGTGCGGCTACGGCACAAGATTGAGAAGGCGTCGGCGGCGAAGCAAAAGAAGGCGAAGAAGCTAGCGAAGAAGGTACTGCAACTGCGCGCGACCGTAGCGCTCGCATTCTGACATGTACAGGACCCAACATGGCGCTCCAAGACGAAGAAAGAGCCCGGTATTCCCAACCTGTTTCCCTACAAAGACAAGATTCTCGCAGAGGTCGAGGAGCAGCGCAGGAGAAAGGAAGAAGAGGCTGCGCGCCGTCGGCAATTAGCAAAGGAGCAAAGGCTGGGAGGCGCGACTGCCGAAGATGCAATGGACGACGACGAGGAGTTTGAGCAGTTCGACGCCGAAGGTGACGAACTTTTGGCCGAAGACAGCGAAGACGAGGATTCGATGCAAGTGGTGAGTTCACATGGTTCACAGCAGATGCGCGACTCTACTAAGAATGCGCAGGACAACAACCTGAATCCCATGGCTGCTCTGTTAGCTTCCGCCAAGGCGCGCGCCGCCGAATTTGAACAGAACGACGACGACCAAGACGCCATGGAGGACAGTGAAGATGACGAATCGGACCATGGTGATGGAGTCAAAGTCGCCAAGGATGCGTCAAGAAAACAGTTTGACAAGGTATACAAGCAGGTTGTCGACTCGGCCGACGTCGTTTTGTATGTGCTCGATGCTCGCGACCCAACTGGAACGCGATCGAAAGAGGTGGAGCAGGCAGTCATGGCAGCGGATCGTGGAAGCAAGCGCCTGATATTCATCCTCAACAAGATCGATCTTGTTCCGCCGCCCGTCCTTCGCGCATGGCTGGTGCACCTCCGCCGCTCATTCCCTACCCTTCCTCTACGTGCATCCAAACCAGCGCCAAACGCAAAGACTTTCGAGCACAAGGACCTTACGATGAAGGGCACATCTGAGACACTCTTCAAGGCCTTGAAGACATTCGCCGAGTCCCGTCAGCTGAAGCGCTCAGTCAGAGTCGGAATTATTGGATACCCTAATGTTGGCAAATCATCCGTCATCAACGCCCTGACTTCAAGACTAAGCGGAAGGTCTGCTGGCTGCCCTACTGGTGCCGAGGCTGGTGTTACCACCAGTCTGCGCGAAGTCAAGATAGACAACAAGTTGAAGCTTCTTGACTCGCCTGGTATCGTTTTCCCAAATACCGAAGGATCCAAGGAAAGCAAGGTACAGCAAAAGGCACGACTTATTCTGCTCAATGCCGTCCCTCCAAGAGAGATTGACGATCCCGTTCCTGCTGTCACTCTGTTACTCAAGAGGCTGTCGTCTTCGGAGGAACTGTTTTCGAAGTTGATGGAAGTCTACGATCTACCTCCCCTACTCGCCGTGGGTAATGACAAGACAACCGACTTTTTAGTTCAGGTAGCAAGAAAGAGAGGCCGACTGGGCAAGGGTGGTGTGCCAAACATGCACGCAGCGGCACAGACTGTCATTAATGACTGGAGAGATGGTCGTATCCAAGGATGGACAAGCCCTCCCAAACACGCACCTGCCGAGACTTCTTCCACCAAGACTGCGCCAGCTACCAAGGGTGGCCTCGTTGGTGATCAGAAGGAGATTGTTAAGGAGTGGGCTGCTGAGTTCAAGCTTGATGGTCTATGGGGTGATGAACCGAGTGATGCTGCAGCACCAGAAGCTATGGAAATGTAGGCAGCTTACTTTGACTGGTATGGCGAAATGGCGTTCATCCAAGACTATAGTGCTAGTCTACTTTACTTGCACAGAGGAAAAGCATTTGGCTAGATATCACGAGTCTATCAATGATATGTTACTTGCTCTTGAAGATGACCCTGCACCTCTGACGCTAGAATTTGTGGATTTTTCCGATGCAAGCCTTGCGATTGACTGCGTGAACCATGTGTGTACCGCTACTGACCGCGTGAAGTCTCTGCGATATCGGATCTGCATCGGACCATCCTACAAGTGAAAAGTTCTCTCCGAGCTGCAACTACCCACCGATGAGAGTGTTCGGCGATATGTTGGCTCCCATAGGTAGGTTTCGCCGCCCCACACTTTCGGCTTCCATCGGCTCACCCCAGAGCTCCACCACGTTAAGCTTCACAGCTCAAGATACATAACGACAGGTTCCTTGGGATTTCTGATCACACAAAATCAACAGTTTTATTCACAATGGGTTCTTCAAAGGGTCTACAGCCTCTACGCTCTGCTTCCAAGACTCTGAATGCTCTGCCCGCAGCCTATGCTGGCGCGCAGATTGCATCAAGACGGTATGCGGGGACGCTCGCCAACTTCAAGATTCCCACTGTCAACAACGAGCCCAACGTAAGTTGGAAGAGGAACCCTAATGTTCGGAATCAATCCGCTGACCATGCTCGATAGCAACACTACACCAAAGACTCAGTAGACCGCCAGAAGCTCCAAGATGCGGTTGCACGTATGAAGAAGCAAGGTCCAGTACAAGTACCTCTTGCTGTAGGGGGAGAATACGTAAGCTTTGCTGTGAACTTGAAAAGTCCTCACATCGTTCTGACACTTTCCAGATCAACAACTCTTCGATCCTCACTCAGAACAACCCCTCCTCACACGCCGATGTCATCGCCAAATACTCCAATGCTAGCGCAGCCGACGTAAAGAAAGCCATAGATGCAGCACTAGCTGCTAAGCCAGCATGGGAGGCACTTCCATTCGCTGAGCGTGCATCGGTGTTTCTCAAGGCAGCAGATCTGATTTCCACAAAGTACCGGTACGAAATAATGGCTGCGACTATGGTGGGACAAGGCAAGAACGCATGGCAGGCCGAGATTGACGCAGCGGCCGAGCTTTGCGACTTCTTGAGGTTCAATGTCAAGTACGCGGAAGACACATACGGACATCAGCCAACACACAACTCACCGGGAGTCTGGAAGTATGTACAACCCCTGATCGCAGCTGAAGATCAAGGCTAACTCGTGCAGCCGCGTTGAGTACCGTCCTCTCGAGGGCTTCGTCTACGCAGTATCACCTTTCAACTTTACAGCCATTGGCGGTAATCTTCCTGCAGCTCCAGCTCTGATGGGCAACGTCGTTGTCTGGAAGCCATCCCCATCCGCAATTGCGTCGAACTGGCTTCTTTACCAGATTCTTATCGAGGCCGGCCTCCCACCAAACGTGATCCAGTGGGTACCTGGTGATGCTGTGGAAGTGACCCAGGAAGTCCTGGCTCACAGGCAATTCGCGTCTTTACACTACACTGGCAGCACGGCGGTCTTCCGTCAGTTGTATGGCAAAATTGCCAACGGTGTGGCTGAGGGCAAATACCAGAGCTACCCAAGGATCGTCGGAGAAACTGGAGGAAAGAACTTCCATCTTATCCACAAGGATGCTGATATTCCCAACGCAGCTATCCAGACTGTCCGTGGTGCTTTCGAATACCAAGGCCAGAAATGCAGTGCGTGTTCGCGTCTGTACGTACCAGAGTCTGCGTGGCCAGAATTCAAGGAAATCCTTGTACGTGAGGTCGAAGCCCTGAAGATTGGCGAGCCTACGGACTTCTCAAACTTCATCGGCCCTGTCATCCACGAGGCATCTTTCAAGAAGCTCTCTGGTGTCATTGACGAAGCAAAGAACGACAGTGATCTTGAGCTCGTCGTTGGCGGCAAGTACGACAGCAGCAAGGGTTACTACATCCACCCCACCATCTACCGCACCAAGAACCCCAACCACCCTCTCCTGTCTCGCGAACTCTTCGGTCCTATTCTTGTGACCTACGTCTATGATGATGCCGCGCCCGACGCTTTCTCCAAGATCATCAAGCAGATCGACGAGACTTCCGAGTACGCGTTGACTGGTGCCGTGTTCGCAAAGGACAGGGAGACTATCAAGTACGCGTCGGACAAGCTGAGGGACACCGCTGGTAACTTCTACATCAACTGCAAGTGCACAGGTGCGGTTGTCGGACAACAGCCATTCGGTGGATCCAGGGCTAGCGGAACGAACGACAAGGCTGGCAGCGCGACTCTGTTGTCGAGATTCGTAAACATGAGGGCGGTCAAGGAAGAATTTCTGCCTACTGAGAAGGTTACGTACCCCAGCAACGAGGTGTAAGATAGACATTGGAAAGACGAGTGTGAACTAAAAGCATAGCAAGTTGAGCTAGCATTGGCGTCGGCGTTGGACGGGTACTCACGATTACGATAAAACGTAAAGATATGTATATGAAATCAAAATGACACAAGTTAGATGTCGGGAGTTATGGTACAATTCTTCACAAGTGGGTATGGCATGTGATTGAACAAAAAGTGAACTGGGAACACAAACCAGGGCGTGTTACGAATATAGGTCCATACTCACCGTCGCATAGGCATAACGAAGTTCATAAAGCCAAGACGAAATCACCCGGTCTGCTTGGATTTGTGATATGAACACTCCTGTCGCTGTCAGTTGCAAAAGGTTACTTGCAACAAGACAATTAGTTTCATCGACACAGAAAAGTAGGCATGATTCGGAGTCAGATCCATGGATGTGTTCGCACGTACGTCGTCAGCCCAAGACCTACTTCAACCCACCACGCGTCCCATCCAAACACGGTCACGTTATGTGTACCTCGGCAATAATTGAGAAAACGTTGAGAGAAGGGGCTAATCTTACGATGCGGCTCAATGCATCTTCTAGAACCAGCATGAGTCGTGACAGACCCACCGGCTTTCGGGAGCCCCGTTCGTTTCGAAGCGAAGCTTATTTTGAGCCGCAACGCACGGGGCGTACGAGTGTTTGATTGGAAATCGGGGAGATACGACCGTTGGGGTATTTGGATTGTCGGGTTGACCGTTGCTCAGGGAACTGCAGGTCTGTACAGTGGAGGTTGTGTATACGCAGCAGGCTGGATTTAGTGTTTGCGTATTCCGACAATATGTACAGCTGATGCAACACCGAATTCCGGATCGGAGTCGGTACAGTGCGCCTTGGTCCGAACCAGGGTGGAGCGGAGCGGATTCTGCTGAGGAATCAACCCGTTCCCGTGCGAAGTTGCGAGGATGAGATAAGATGAGTCTCGTATGCATACGCTCGCAATGAAGTTTCAGTCGCCTCTTGCACCTCGGCTATGATATGGAGTTAAGCAGTTATTCACCATGATTGCTCATCCTACACGGTACACCGTGGACAAGTAATCATCCTCATCTCCACACCAAGAACACGCGTAACCTCCTCTTTTAAAGAAAGTTGTGGAGTAGAGTGCCTGGATTGCATGTATGAGACCGACCCTCCGCTCAAGCAGCCTACCGTCCGCACTTTAACTGGAGGCGGCGGAACGAGCGAGAAATCTCACTTGCTAAGTATATCCCTGGAATGAATCCACAAGGTAACCTCGGCATCTCGGTCCATTTTCACTTCGAGATCGTTGCAATAACCTTGCAAAGCCCTATGACGCTCTGTCCGCGATCTGCAACATGCATGGCGGCACCTTTGCCCATCTCCGTAACCCCTGTCCAATTCGGCGCCTACTGTCCGAGGGAGTATTTCGATTGGTTCCGCGCGTTAAGCTTCTCAGACGCGTCGCTGCTTCGAGAATAGTGCGACGCTTCGGCCGAGCAAACTTAAGATTTTTGATCATGGTGTCATCGCCTCATGGGTCGCACGTTGCAAGCGGATTTGGGAGCGTTGCAAGTCGGGATTAGGGACGAATCCAGCTGGTTGGGCAGCCAGAACATTTGTCGACCGATCTGTTTTGTCCTTGTCACGCATTGCTAGTGGGTTCTCTACCGCCGCATCGCATGACTTGTGCGCCGCTCACCGTGTGCCTGGGTTGTTTATATGTGGCGTGTCCCGCTGTGATCGTCCTGCTTTCTCCTCCGAGGTCAATTGTGTCGTAACTCTTTCGTCTTTTCCCTTACTTTGGATACTCTTTAATTAACACTGGGCATCGTCCCTACTACCTTGCTCCTGATTCCTTCGACGGAAGATATCAATTATTACACAACGCCAAATCCGGTACGATAACAACACTACGATGGAAAAGGATCAGGAGGTTGCCGCAAATTCTGCGGCAAACAGCAATAGCAGCCACATGGACGTCGAGTCTGGAAGAGATGGTATCTCTCACTGGAAGATGATCACAGACCAGGGTGTCGTTACCAAGGAGATCATCAACTACGACTACGAGGGTGCGGGAACTGAGGAAGATCCATATGTGGTGGAGTGGATCGACAATGACCCCAGGAACCCAATGACCTGGCCTAAGACGAAGAAGTGGATCATGGCCATTGCTGTCGCCAACTCGGTTCTCGTCGTATCATTCTGTTCATCGGCTTTCTCTGGAGGTATGTTCTGCACAAATCAAAGTGCACATTGAATGACGTCTAACATGTTCTAGGTATCCAACAAATTATGGCTGAGTTCAGCGTCAGCCAAGAGGTTGTCACACTCGGTGTATCACTCTTCGTTCTCGGATTTGCTCTCGGACCACTTCTATGGGCTCCTTTCTCAGAATTGTATGGTCGCCAGATTGTCTTCATTGGAACGTATACCGCTTTCATGGCTTTCAACGCCGGAGCTGCTGGTGCACCCACAATCTACGGCCTGCTTATTCTCCGATTCTTCGCCGCCGCTTTCGGTTCCAGTCCTCTCACCAACGCCGGAGGTGTTATTGCCGATCTGTTCTCCGCAAACGAGCGTGGACTTGCCATGTCAATCTTCTCTGCGGCGCCATTCATGGGTCCTGTTCTTGGTCCGATCATTGGTGGATTCTTGGGTATGACTGAAGGTTGGAGATGGGTTAACGGTCTCATGGCTATCTGGGCCGGAGTGATTCTCGTAATCACCACCTGCCTCGTTCCCGAGACATACGCCCCGGTCCTGCTTAGGAAGCGTGCTGAGAAGCTCTCAAAGATTTCCGGAAAGGTTTACCGATCCCGTACTGATATCGACCAAGGCAAGGTTTCGCTCGGAGAGGCTTTCGCGACTGGTCTCAAGCGTCCCTGGATCCTGCTTTTCTGCGAGCCCATTGTGCTTTTGCTTTCGCTTTACCACGCCATCATCTATGGTATCCTTTACATGCTTTTCGGTGCTTTCCCAATCGTCTACCGTATTGGCCGTGGCTGGAACGAGGGTATTAGCGGTCTGCCTTTCGTCGCTGTCGCTATTGGAGTCTTGTCTGCTATCACATACGTCATTACTGTCGACAACAAGATGTACATGAGGAAGGTTCAAGAGTCTGGTCGTGGATTTGCTGCTCCCGAGGCACGTCTGCCCATGTGCATCATCGGTGGTATCGCACTTCCCATTGGTCTCTTCTGGTTTGCCTGGACCAACTCCCCGACTCTCCCATGGGCTGCCAGCGTCGTTGCCTCCATTCCATTCGGTTTCGGCATGGTTCTCATCTTCTTGTCCATCATGAACTATCTCATCGACTCGTACACGATCTTCGCTGCATCCGTTTTGGCTGGTAACGGTATCATTCGTTCCGTCTTCGGTGCTGCTTTCCCTCTTTTCACCTCGCAAATGTACAGCCGCCTTGGTATCCACTGGGCTTCATCCGTACCTGCTTTCCTAGCTGTCGCTTGTCTGCCGCTCCCGTTCTTGTTCTACAAGTACGGTAAGACCATCCGCGAAAAGTGCAAGTACGCCGCACAATCAGAAGCCTTCATGGAGAAGATCCGCAACCAACATGCCGCGAAGGCAGCCCGACAGGCCGCCGGTACCGAATCAGAGGATACCTCGCGCGCCGCCACTCTTACTCCTCAAGAGGAAGTCGAAGAGGAGATGCACGAGGAAGAGTCGGCGCCCAAGTTCGAGGAGATGAAGGCTGAGAAGGAGACGGATGGCGAGGGTCTCAAGAAGGTTCAGACTGGGCGCTCGACAAGAAGCCGGAGAACTGTGAGGGATCTCGACTTCAACCCAAATCCGTTTGACATCGACCGCGTCAACACAAGAGAAAGCTTCGCAGGCAGGCCAAGAGCCAACAGCCGAGCAAGTAGCAAGAAGTAAACGTCTGTTTTTGTTGTAGCATTTTTACGGTCGAAAAAGTTGTTAGATTTGACGCATGGCATCAGCATAGTATACCCCTCTCGTATTGCCAGTAGGCAACTTTAGTTCAATAATATTCATAACATGATAAGTTGCTTCTTGCTTGTGACGTACTTGAGGCTCTAGCTGCTGTTAACCGTTAGGATGCTTCTGGGTGATCTCCGTTGCATGGATCAACCTCGGCGATCGTCATAAGCCGCCGGCAACGCATACCGTATCAGAAACCCTTCCCACAGCATTGTTCTAGACACGTAACACGTTGCGCAATACTAAGTCTCATCGGTCCTTCCCCCGCGCGTCTTGTCAATCGCATCCGGCGATGGAGTGCGCCTGTATTCCTTCTTTAGCTCGTAGCTGCCGTCTATGAGCGCGCATCAGCAATGCCACGCGTGCGCACTCGACATATCGCTCTCTGCGTCTCCATTGTTTGTTGGATCTATTACTTCCTTCCCAAGGACGAAGCCTTCCCGGTCCGTCATGGCGCGCATCACGGCTCTACCGCCGCGTTGGCGCGCTACATGAACGATCCATCTCAAATCCCGCGCATCCTCGCAACACCGAGTAGCTTCGACTGGACTTCCGTGAACTTTACCTACCCGCTTCCACTGGGCCCCAAGCTTCCTTCACCTTTCACCAAACGTCCTCGTATTCAACACAACTTCACACCGGACCCGAGCAATGTACACGCCATACAGGAGGAGAGACGATTGGAGGTGAAGCGAGTGTTTGCAAAGAGCTGGGCAAGCTACAGGAGCAAGGCATGGATGAAGGATGCGCTGAAGCCGATAAGTGGACAGTATGTCGACCAGTTCTCTGGATGGGCTGCGACATTGGTAGACTCACTCGACACACTTTGGATGCTAGGGATGCGGAACGAATTCTACGAAGCTGTCGAAGCTGTTGCGACCATTGATTTCGGCATGTCTACGGCACCGACAGTCAACACCTTCGAGACGTGTATACGCTACCTGGGCGGGCTTCTTGCTGCATATGACTTGAGTGGACATGAGGTGCTGAAGGCGAAAGCGATCGAGGTGGGCGACCTGCTATATGGCGCCTTCAACACGAAGAACGGCATGCCTGTTGACTTTATCAACTTCGAAAATGCGAAGCAGGGCACTGGGTTGATCGTTGAGAATCAAGTGGTTAGCGCAAGTCCGGGTACCATCACGCTAGAGTTCAGCAGGCTGAGCCAGATCACGGGAAACGACAAGTACTATGCTGCTGTGTCGAGTCTGATGGATGTATTCGCGGAGAGTCAAACCAAGACGAAACTGCCAGGCATGTGGCCTATGATGGTGTCCATGCGCGCCAAAGACGTTGTTTCGGGTTATCAGTTCACGATAGGTGGGAATGCGGATTCCTTGTATGAGTACCTACCAAAGGCGCATGCCCTGCTTGGGTCTGCAGAGCTAAGCTCGAGCAAGTACGAGGCCATGTCACGCTCCTTCATGGATACGGCGATGAACAACTTATTCTTCGCACCTATGATACCAGGGAACGAGGACATTCTGATCTCAGGCAACGTCGATGTTCATGAGGACGGTCCCAGTCTTGACCCCGAAAGCGAGCATCTGTCATGCTTCATCGGTGGTCTTTTCGCGCTCGGTGGGCGGCTGTTCGACAACGCAGAATATCTCGAAATCGGAGCGAAGCTTGCTCGCGGGTGTGCATACGCCTACAAGTCTTTTCCCACTGGTATCATGCCAGAAAGGTATAACATGGTTCTATGCCCCGGCCCTGATCATCGTAAATCCTGCGCTTATGACGAAGAGCGCTATGCCGTAGAAGCAGCTGCACGACCGCAGTATAAGTCCCACCTTCCTAAAGGTTTTACCACCGCTAAAGACCCTCGCTATATCCTTCGTCCCGAGGCCATTGAATCTGTCTTTATACTATGGCGCATCACGGGCGATCCTGTTTGGCGCGAGACTGCATGGGAGATGTTCGAAGCTGTAGCCAACGCAACGGACACAGAGCTTGCGAATGCTGCGATCATGGACGTTTCTGTCATCGGGTCAAAGAAAGAGGACTACATGGAGAGTTTCTGGATGGCAGAGACCCTGAAGTACTTTTACCTGTGCTTCGCCGATACGGGCTTGGTTAGCTTGGATGACTTTGTGTTGAATACTGAAGCGCATCCTTTTCGGTTATCCAAGGGGTAGGCGAAATGTATATAAACTTGCATCTGGCATTGAGAGAATTTGTTGCTGTCTCGGCTCCTCGAACAGGCTCGCAGTACTTATGGTTGCGGTTGACGTGAAGAGCTTCACGTGAGATTGCCAGTGCGTGAACTATCGCAACAAGACGCGAGCGGGACGTTAGAGTAGGCGAGAAAAACAAAGACATTGTATCGCTAAACTCAAGCTGAATCCATACAACACTCATCGTGCACAACACCGCCAAATCCCACTACCCACGTTACGTCCTCAGTGTTCTCGACGCCCATAGAACACATGCCGTAACTCCGCTGCCCCACTCTTCCCATCAGCCTAAGCATGTGCAAGCATGTGGCGTCACTCGCTATGATTGGTGTTCCTGAGACCCATTGTTTCTAAACCAGGACTCTGAAGATTAGCGTGGGCTGCGCGCCCCCCTTGATCTTCCCCTTCAAACCCCAGGCACCAAGGCCTTTCTTTTCCTCTTCTTTACTACACTATCCAATCTCCGCGACTCTACGTCACAGTCATTCCTTTGCTTCTATTGGAAGTAGTTCATACACTCATTCTTTTTGCATAATTGGCTATTTGGCCTCGTCAGCTCTATCTTTGGACAGCCTTGTACCATATTGAAGCTCTCTTTCCCGCATAGATCCGTCGTTACCAACACCACCGCACATCCTCCTCGAAGCATTACACCAATCGAAGATGCGTTTCTCTATTGTTGCTGCTGCGCTTGCAGCTGCTCCTGCCGTCGTCTCGGCTGCTGAGAAGGGCAAGATGGGATTCGCCCTTGGAACGAAGATGGGAAGCGGAGCATGCAAGACCCAGCAGGATTACTCCGACGACTTCAAGATGATCAAGTCGAACTCTGGCTCAACCATTGTTCGTGGTTACGCTGCCTCGGACTGCGACATGGCTAAGAACGCCCTCCCGGCTGCCAAGTCAGCTGGCTTCAAAGTTGTTCTAGGTATCTGGTAAGCTTCATGTTCCTACCAACGACGATTCAGAGCCAAGTTTGCTGATACATGGTACCGCAGGCCCGATGTCGAGGAGTCCTTCCAGAAGGACCTCAAGGCCATTACCGACGTTGCCCAGCAATACACCGATACCATCTACGCCGTAACCGTCGGTTCTGAGACCCTCTACCGTGGAAACTTCACTGGCGAGGAGCTCGCCGGCAAGATCAAGACTGTCAAGGACAAGCTGCCCTCTGGCATCAAGGTCGGAACTGCAGACTCATGGAACAAGTTTGCCGACGGAACTGGTGATGCCATCATTGGCACTGCCGACATCATCATGGTTAACGCCTTTGCTTTCTGGCAGGGTGCCAGCCGTGAGAACGCTACGTACGTATAATCCTTCAGTCAAGCAAACCTTGGAGGATAAACATAGACTAACAATCTTGCAGTCATGTCTACCTTGACGACATGTACCAAGCCACCGCCCACATTGAGAAGGTCGCTGGAGGCCGCTCCAAGGCCCCCGAGATCTGGAACGGCGAGACCGGCTGGCCTACGGCTGTTGGCACCGACTACGACGCTGCGAAGGGTGGACTGGACAACGCTAAGCACTTCTACCAGCACGGTTTCTGCTCGCTGCTCGACTGGGGCTTCAACGGCTTCTACTTTGAGGCTTTCGACGAGCCATGGAAGCCAGCTTCCATTGGTGACAATGGAAAGGCTGCCGACGAGACTGCCTGGGGTGCTATGACTGCGGACCGCCAGAAGAAGTTCGACCTTATGTGCTAGATTTAGACCAGGCGGAGACTGATCTTGAGGCGTGAGGATGAGTTGAACATAGACGGCGGGAGACAAGTCGTTGGTATAGCTTGATCGTTGCATATAAACAAGTTTAGAGTATAGACGCATCGCTCCTACATATGGAAAGGTTACGGCCAGTTCTTTTTTTGAATAACTTGTCACTTGATCAGATGTGTCCACCACGACTCTTATTCTTCGTAAGTGATTTTCATGCCAGTTCCTAGACGGAACAAAAATAATTGTCGCTTACAGCTGAGAAGTAGAGGCGAGATCCGAGCACGGAACATATCCGCTCCTTGTCGATAACAGCGTATCGTTCCCACCCTAGAGCACTATCCTTCACCCACGCGAGCGCAAAAAGAATTTGCTCTCCGAAGAGAGCCACGGTTGATTCAGCCGAGGTTTGAACTCGGGACCTTCAGTGTTAGAAACAACTGTCGTTGTTAGACTGACGTGATAACCAACTACACCACCGAACCGTTATTGATGAAGTGATTGGGTCTAGCAAACCATATAATATGAGAAATTCTGATTCTCTGACGACATGGAATATTCGTACTATGCCCAGTCCAAAGTATGAGATATCGCGAGGTAAAGGTACCCACAAAGTAAGGTAGGTGCAAACGCGAAAGGAAAATTTTCGCCCCACCTGAACCCACATCTCGACAACGACCTACACTTCAACTCTTTCGTAAGTTGGCTGCTCAATTTCAGTCTGGGGTGTTGACGCCGCAGAACTTGGTGTTGACCCTCCAGAAAACAGGCTTGAGCTTCTTGACCCAACCGGTGACAGTGCGTATAAAGATTCGTAATCCGGAGCAAATTCTCGCGATGGCTCTCTTGGTGTGTACTGCGGAAGTGGCTCAAAGTCTTCGCCGTCTTCTAGTTGCGATGATAGCGAGCGATCGCGGGGTACGCGAGGTAGAATCTCCAGTGCCGTGTTTGAACGGATGGTGAAGTGTTGATCATTGTATTTGATACCGATGGATATACCAAGTACGTACCGTCGGGTGATCGAATATGTTTTGAAGGTCGGAACACACTCTGTGTCATCGATGAGACGAAAGTTGGACGTCAGGTTTGTCGTTTTGTTGAATGGGATCGGTCTGTTCATGCTGGTTCGCGATATGCAGGTGATGTGCTTCGATACAACGTCCTCGGGATCCATTATTGTGTGGCCGCACATCGTTGTAGAGTACGTCGAGATGGTGACCGTCAAGGAGTCGATGATGCATTCCCGTTCAGCATGATTGGCAGGATCTCGTGCGTTCAGTAGGCTGAGCGATAACGGCATGTGCTGTCCAGGAGCAACCTTCTCGGGATGAAACAATGTGGGAATGATCCGAGGTGTCGAATTCATAGAAACACCGGAGAACACTTTCTTAACCCGCGATTCTTCTTTCTCTTTGTGTGGCTTCCATGCTTGAGTATAGAGTACAGAAGATGTAGCTTTCGCTCGTTGTGGCACGTCGACTTCTGATCTTGGATGGTATCGCAGTGTATACTTGCACCTCTTGGTATCCATCGAGCCACTGATGATAAGTCTGGCTTGGACAAAATATGATATCTGGGCTGCGCCACCTGGAACACTGGTCTTGAGGTGGAATGAGGGCGGAAGTGGGTGTGGCTCTCGAAGATAGTTAGAGCCATGTGCCATCCGTTTGTAGTGTGGTTCAGTAGACTCTGGAAAGACAAACTCAAAGTCCCATGAGTACTTCCTCGGCCCAAGAGTGCGACAGGAAACTAGCTCTTTCTCGCGGTTGAACAGTCGGATCTTCTCTTCATAGTCGTGTCTTTGCGCAGGAGGATCGGTTTTGGTATTCACATGTAAAGGCCTGGATGTTTTGGTGACACAACTGCCAGCAAAGATAACTTTCAGCGACTCAATTTCTGCCTCCTCTTCTATTGCCAGGGAGATCTTTCCAGTAACCTTGTCTCCCCTTCGATATACCCTATTGCTATCGCCGTCAACAACGACCCTCAAAGCTGGCACCGTCATTTTTGGTGAGAAGAAGAGGGACGATCAGCAATGCAGGGACCTTGCAAGGCTTAAGAGCGTGTGAATGGGTAACGATGATTCGCGGAGGTTCCAGGCACGCGGTTATCGGTGCAGACCGGACTAGGAGAACGTTTGCCGGGGTAAGAGTTATGCCAAGGATGAGAGGATTTGCTGGGCATGCAACTGAGATATGGATAACGGAAGGTGAAAGGACGAATCCGCTTTAGAAGGGAGGCTGAGTGCATTTGGATATTGGGCATATATGTTGCTTACCGTTGGCTTTGCGCGCGCCTTGCCAATTCGAACGTCATCTTGCTGCCAAGGGTCTACCATGAAGCAGTTGGGATGAAGGCATGATGTCCTGTTAGTGTTGTGCTGTCAGGCCTTGTAAGGAAGGGATGTTCGTGGTAGGCGTAATCGTGCACCAAGCTACGTGTTTCATCCCTTTCCTGATCATGATCTTCCGTGAATTACCCAGTATGCGTCGCATAGTCTTTAGAGGCCCAACTGCCCAAAAGCTTTCTGTCGCCATTCTTCCGCAGAGTGCTGAACAGCGGGATGCAGCCAAGGAGACCACGACTTCTTGGCTGGTAGTCTGGATTCAGCCACACTGATACCCCAGATCCGCCCCGCTAGACTCTGTAGCAGAACCGTCGATATGGAATCAGAGGAATTTGTGTATCCACATATTCTCCGCGATGCAAGATCTGGAGTTGGAGTGATCTGTTAGCAATGCGTACTACACGAGCTATTGTGAGTCATTATCACGTCAAAAATCCAGGGCAACGAGTGAAATGGGTAGCACGCGGGGTGTCCGCTGAAGGCGTGCCACATTCAGCAACGGCGCCGGGTTGGTGCTCGCTTCGAGACTGGATACGCTCAAAAGGTCCTTGGCCCTCCACAAGCCGACGATTGGCGGACCGATTTGCCAGAGCTGCTCGGGGAGAACGAGAGTCCATGTGCCCACGTCTCGGAAAGCAGGTTTGTAGTCCGCTTCGCCTCACGGCTTCACAAAGGCGGTGATTCAAGTATGAGACAGTCAGTGTCTGGTGAATGCGAAGTAGACGAGAGGGAACCAAATGCGTTGACAGTGTCAAGTTGTTGTAGATGAAGATGCAGAGGAAGGATCGCTCCAGGTTCTAGTTCAGTGGGGTGCTTGGGCAGATTGCGCCAGGGCGGGCACGTGGCGAGATATCGATAAGGGTCGGTGCCATCCGACAGCGCCTCTTTGCACTGATGCTTGCAATGGTCTTGAGAATCACAAGATCGTGCCACAAGAACACCAGAGCTATCTTTTAAACGAGAAGTCAACTCGCATGTGAGTACCAGAGGTGGGAACACTCTGTTATAAGTCCACTGTCCTTTCGGACTTGATCCCTTAAAGGCGAACGGAAGGACAATTTCAACTGTGAGCCAGATGATATCTCTCGAAACGAACAGCCTCAGCATGCTCAGATTGTGCCTTTCTCTCTTTGCGTCTCGTAGTTGATAGCATGATGCTTAGAGAGGATATTTACACGCTTACTGTATGTTACGAGATTTGTATCTACACTTCGCGAAAGTTCATTTCCAGCAGAGGTCTAACTTGTGCCAAAGTCTGAATTTACAGATTGCACGAGACAAAACATGCTAGCACAAACAACATATTCTTCGTTATGCGCAATGTGATAATAGTTGTAATACTCGTGACGTAGGACAATCTCCGTCTTTGGGTTACCAAAATCGCGCCCAGACCTCAACGCGTGCTCACGCGTCAGGGTCCACTAAAACTATCTACGAGGCCATCACCCTTACGCCCACCACTCCCTAGTGAACCCATCCCGCAAACGCTTCTTCTACTATTCGAACAACGCTGCTTTCATACTCAAACGTCCGGAACCACACCAAACTATGCCGCCGAGGAAGAGCAACGTATCGGCGGTGTCAAACGAAGAGAGTCCCGCACCGCCTATATCAGTACCGAGAGAGGAGAGCTTGGGTGTCGAGGTTTGTCGCATTACTCGAAAGCGTACCGGTCTATAACATGGCTGACAATGCGATTGCAGGACCTGAATCTGCCAAAGTCTATAGTCCAGCGCCTGGCCAAAGGTGTCCTGCCACCGAATACTCAAATACAAAAAGATGCGCTCCTTGCTATGAGCAAGTCCGCAACTGTGTTTGTCAACTACATCACATCAGCGTACGACTCCTACAAATCTATCATATGCCAGATGTATGCGGATTGCAACAAATAGACTTTCGCTAACAATTATCCAGCGCCGCGGAAAAAGCACTCGCCAGCGGCAAGAAAACCGTCATGCCCAAAGATGTATTCGATGCAATGACAGAGCTGGAATTCGCGTCCTTTCTCCCCCGCCTCGAGGCAGAAGTCACCAAATTCACGTCGATACAAGCCGATAAGCGGAATACGTACAGGAAGAAGGTGCGCGAAGAGAAGAGAGCCACAAATGGTACCGCCGAGGTTGCTACTTCAACTCCTGCGAAGTTGGCGGAAAGTGGAGACGTGACAATGGAGGGTGCGGATGATGGTGGTGAGAGGGCGACGAAGAGGGCCAGACGGGAGAGTGGAGATGCGGGTGAGGGAGATGTCACTGAAGAGGAGGTGGACGAGACACAAGACGTGGAGGACGAGGAAGTCGAGGATGACGAAATTGAGGAGGAGGTTGTCGGAGAGGAATTGACAGAAGATCCGCTCGAGGAGAAGGAGGCCAGCAAGGACGACGACGATGACGACGACGGGAATGAGAGCGACTGAGAAGTCAGACGTGTCTCGTATGGCTCGAAAGATATCACTGCATGGGACGGCGTTCAGGATGGGCGGGGTCTGAAGCATTGGTTCAGAGCAGATCAGTCAAGAATCTGAATTGAATGTGCTGTTTCAGAAGACACTATGCTGGAGCTACCTAAGCGCATAGGTTGTCTCAATGTATGAAGTTATTGCACTCTACGTCTCTGTGAGGCTCATAGTGTCGGATTGCGTCGACGTCGCGCGCATCTTGCAACCATGATACCATATGCATTACGCAACTCCCGTCGTGGTCGTGGTCGTGGTCGTGGTCGTTTACGCGGGTGCTTCTGTGCTCCTCAAGAGCATGTTTGTATGCCACCTTCAGCGCTTCGTCTTTGGGGGTATGCTGGAATCGAGCGGATCACCGTAACGCACTTCCACTCGTTAGTATACTTGTTGGCAGCCGAATAGAAGATACTCACATCTAACCATGTTGCTCTTGTCGACAATGTTGTCCAGTGCCCTAGCCTCTTCCTCGCGCGCCCTAGTGTTCTTCCACTCAAAGCCCGGCTGGTCTTCCTGCTTGCTCCACTGGTAACCTGTCTCAGCATCCTGGTGGGTACCATTTCCACCCGTGCCGTTGCTCGTAGCTGCTTGCGTCATGCCGGTAGACAGTGGACGCTTTCCATTCGAGTTGACGCCGAGGGTCTCGCGGGTTGTAGGTTGTGAGTTTGGTGGTGAGATTTCGTTTACGCCTGCGAGATTGGGGTTGTGGGGTGTGGCTGGGTTGTTTGGGAGAGCTTCGTCAGGGAACATTTCATCGTCCGAGGCAGCATTGGTGGGGGACGATTGCATGGTCGAGTCGCCATCGCGGTCTGAGAGGGGCGTCAGGTAAGTGCGTTGTCGTTTGGAGGCCATGGCGTGTGGTTGGCGCGGGGACGTGACTTACCCGACATGTTTGCGAGCTTTACGGGGGTATTCGCGGCGTGATAGCGGCAGTAAATGCGTTTGCGACGCGGGTTGTTGCTCGCTGTAGAAGGCAACAGTGAATGACATAGGCGTGGAGCTAATCGCGGCCCGCCGCAGGGGTCAAGGTGGGACCCATCGAAATATTGGCGACATCATACCTGTGGGACACAACTCTTTCACGCGACTTGAACTGTGGAACGAAAACCCTCTTTACAATCGACCGACAAGACACTTGCCCAATATGCCGCCCAAGAACACACTCGCCGACGCCTGGGACGACGACTGGGAATCGCTCGCTGACGTACATGTGCCCCTCTCTCCTGAAAGCGATCGCTCATACCTTGTAGAAAGAAGACGAGAAGCCTGCAGAAGAGCAGCCAAAGCCCAAACTCACGAAAGCGCAGCTCAAGGCTCAGCATGCTGAACTCAACAAGCAGCTCTGGCAGGCCGCGTAAGTTGCCAACCTCTAGTCGCAGACACGACGACAACTAACTAGCTTGAACAGCGAGAACCCAGAGCCTCAATGGTACCCTGAAGTCCGCCCTGCTCCTGTAGCAGCAACTTTCAAACCAAAAGTCACGATGCTTGCGCGCAAGCCCACTCCTCAAGTCCTCTCTCGCAATATGGCTGGTATGAGCCTTGATGACGACGACAGCGAAGAAGAGCGACGTAAGAAGGCAGCAGCAGATTTCGAAGAGCGCAAAGCACGTGCGCAGAAGGAGCGGGCGGAGAAGGAGCGCAAGTACGCAGAAGCACGAGAGCGCATCTTTGGCTCACCAGCTGCTTCTGCCGCAGAGGACTCGCGCAGCAACTCTCCCAACAAGGCTACACGGGGCAAGGGACGCGGACGCGGTGCGAGGGACAGCCAACCAAGGTCGAGCAATGAGCAATCACCAGCACGAACGGCAGCTCCTGCGCGCCAGCTCTTCGACCCTACATACACTCCAAAGCCTGGCTCCGTATTTATACAGAAGAAGGAATCCGGAATCAGTCGCCCATCAACGCCAAACACACAAGAGAAGCCTGTTCGTCAACCCCAAGGACCTGCAAGGGGTGGCGGGCGCGGCTTTGCACCAAGGGGAGGCTACGGTACTCAGGCAGGTCCGTCCACATGAGCTTGCCGAGGTTCCTATCATATCGACAGACCTTCTACGCGCCAATCTCTTGGGGTGTGTATGGTATTCCAGACCTCTGCTGGGAAGCAACAGGATTACCTACGAATAAGTGACAGCGCCGCTACTACCTAGGCCCCCTCCTGAGAATCATTAACATGATCATTGAGCTGGAAGATGCTCGTGCAGAGATTAGGAGCGACTCCGAAAAAGAACAAGCAGTCAACGTAACGGCGGTATTCTGAAGCCCTCGATATCATCTATAGCATTGGATCATCATCCAGCTATATCTCACCAGAGGACTCCCTTCTTTCCACACTGTGGATATGCAGTCACATACAAGACGCTGCGCGCACATGTCTGTGATGCATACGAAAGTCGAGAGCAGGGAGATCAATGCCAATGATCTCGTGGAAGAGGAATAAGTGGCAGGTGACAATGCGGGCGCAGAGAATCAAGATATTGAACGACGCACCAAGAAGCATTGGGCTGCGGAACAGCTATGCAAGGCAACTGAGGAACGAAGTTTATGGATAAACGGCCAGTAACGACATATGTATCATCTCGTGCACATGAAAGAAGAAGTATGCAGCTCGAAACTAGACACAGTTATACGCTGTTATGAACAGAAAGCGAATTTAGGAGCCTAGTGTTAAGGGTGCCATAATTAACATGTTATCAGATCTGTACTGTTGGGTGTCTGAATCCAGGTCGCATATTTCTAGTTTTCCATGAATTCTGTCATGCTTCAATCCGTAGGGATAGTGATTGGAGTCACTCATTTTTGTGCATGTAGATCAGAAGCTAACCTGGCTAAAACAATTCAGATTACCACTAGCGGCACAAAACGCGACGTTAAGGTGTGTCAGGAGTATAGGATCAGCAAGTTGAGCCTATATAGACAACGAGCACCGATGTTTCAGCCGGGCTGGACCTGTCTACCCAGAGACTTTGTGTGGAGTCAATTCAGGTGTTTCTACCTTGAATATATATGTGTGTTTCTCTGTGAAGACTTCAAGGACATTTCATACACTAAAGAAGTACTTGCCCTCCAACGTAATCAGACATTGATGCAGCATCGAGAAACTTGGTAGCATGATTTCATCCAGTCTGCAGAATATGGTGCACATTCGGAACTTGCGCGCATTGGGGATTGTGACGAGAAGATACCATGGAAGGCTTGATGACTTCCCCTACAGAAATCGTTGCCAAAGACAGCTGTATAACGTCATTCAAGTGGAAAAGAAGTCGCTAATAGAACATGTTACAAGGACAAATGGACAATTCAAACTATAGTAAGAACTTCGACTGGCGCGTCATTGTTCTTGATATCTTCCCAAGGAAAGCCTTCGGCGACACTAACGATGCGATAATGACCGTCCACTGTCTCACGGAGGACCCATACCCCTTGCATACCTCCGAGTACGCACACCCAATCACCAGGTTGCACGTCATCCCGACTTACACCAACGATATCTTGGGATGTCATAAAGAAGTTCTTGATGTTCGAACTCCGAAGACTGTTGAGATAAGCATAGCTCGCGTCTTTTCGCCATGATTGGGGGTCCGGAATATCGTCAGGAGGAGTTACGAGACCTCCAAAGACCTGGTATGAGATGTACAGGTTGTTGAGCAGTTGTTCGTTGTCTCTGATTATGTATCCAGAAAATGACATACTAGTCGACAAGTTGCAAAGTGTTTTGTCCACTTCTTCAGAGCACCATCGGTTTTTGCGACCAAGAGCTCCTTGAATCATGTTTAAGAAAGACATAACTTCTTCCTCCTCTTGTGGATTGATGGAAGCTGACTCTGACAGATTGAGACCAAGAACGCCTTGCTGAAGCTGCAAGCCGTTCTCAATACAACTAACCCGAGCACTACGTTGAGCAGAAATTCTCAAAGCTTTGCCACCTCTTTCAATCTCACAGATCTCTGCGATATCATATTTTAATAACAAAGAATTTTCAGGAATACCACACATGGATGTCTCGGACCAATCGGGAACCCACGACGGGAGGTTTCTGTAAGTTGAAGACGGACGCAAAACATCTTCGAGCAAGTCGATCCTTTCAGCGCGTATAATAGCTTCAGTAAAGTCCGTGTATACTTCCTCAACTGACCTAGTGTAATCAACGCGAAGTCCACACTCTTCAATATCGTTGATCCGCCCAAATGCACTATAGACAAAGTCTCTTGGATCTGAAGACTCCAGCTCGCTACCAACTGCGAAGGATATGCTGGCGTCAAAATGGTTGAGAACGTCGTGGAAAGGAAGGGGTTTTGTATGCTCAAATCGATAGAAACTTAGGGGCAAACTATCGCCTCTCAATTCCATCGAACTTGCCCAATACACCTTGAGGGAATCAAATAGCTGCCTTCGATGAGTATCATGCTGACCGCAGGCGAATATAACTCGTTCGTTCAAAGCTGCTTCTTGCCCGACCCACACACGCTTGAACCATGGGCGAGCAAGAAGAGATTTGATTGATGCAAACGGTAGAGCTGCAAATAGTTCACCATGTTCGTATGACAGCCATCCACATGATGAGCAGTCTTCGTCAAATCTCTCCAACTTTTGCAGAGCTAAATCGCTGTCGTCTGCTGCAGGACCAATCCATACAAGAACCACAACGGCAGATGCAAAGATATTACCCATCCTTTGTACCTGTACGCTCTTCTCGTTCGAGTTACTCTGGTCGATACAGATAGCATCTCTCCAGAAGGTGATAGTCTTGTCCTTTTCTTGTAGATGTTCCAAAGCCACAGCAAGGTTCTCAGTAGCATGAAAGACTTTATTGCCAACTAGTATGGGACGACGAATCTGAGCATCACCCCAAGCGTATGACAAGCCAACATAAGAAGGTCCTTGCTCGTCAGCATTGGAAACAAGCTCGCAGCAAACTACTGTTTGTCCGTCGATATCGATGTTGTGCGTTCTTGGGAGTAGGTATAGATACCGGAGTTCTGTACTGGGGTCTTGGAGTGGTTGGTGCTTGAAAACTTCAAGATTTCGGATGTCAAGAAGCTTTGACTCCGTGGTATCGGTGAAACGGTCTGTCAACACTGACTTGTAAGCGTCGCTTTGGGAGCGACACGACATCGCGACTGATCACATGCCGAAAGGTGCCAGAAAGGGCAGAAGGAGAGCGAACAAGGAGTTCTAGTGCGTATTGCGCAGGTTTCTGGTAAGCTAGTAACCTGAGTTCTCAGCCTTGGAGGTATTCTGAGGTTGCCCCGCCCTCACGTGAGAGTCTTGAACGTGGCTTAATGTCAGCGGGATAGGCGCTACTTCGCATAACAACAGTGACAAAGGAGCTCTATCCAGAAGTTTTTGTTTGACTCGAAGAAATAAGAGACGGTTAATCTACTGGAATCAGAAACCACATTGCAGTTGCTGGAAATCCATGCGAAAATCCAGCATAGCACATGTACATGCTGCTTCCTAAGCTCATGGCGCTCTGAGCATACCAAAGGACTCACCCAAAGAGTAACGAAAGCCTACGGATTTACCTGATCTTATGTAGATAAGATACGAGAGAGTTGTCCTATCAAGAAAATTGCACTACTACTGCTGTATGCCGGTCATGGGAGAAGGAGAGCTGCGGAACTCCCCGAATCGCCAAAAGGTCTTCAACGAGTTACCATAAATGAGGCGTAATCAATATACACGACGCGGATCCGAAAGGCCTATTCCGAATCAGAAAGTATCACCTCGTAGTGTTACTGTCACAGACCAATGTTCAGCAGAATGCAGACGTCCCGTGGCATGAAGAGAAAATTCGATCTTCACCGACTGTGATCACCCTAGTCATACGGCAGGTAGGAAGGAAGGCTTGAGACGAAAAGTGTTTGATTGTAAAAGTGAAGCAACAAGCAAAGGGAAAGATTCTATACACCACCAATGATCGGACATGGAACCTAGACTCGCGATGCAGTACATAAGCGTATATCAATCATCTCACGCGACAGGTCTAGTCCGCCCAGAAAGGCCCGTATGTCGGCGGGTACTCAGCTTGAAGTACAATCGCATATACCAGCATCGGATAGCGCCTTTCCCCTCTTCTCCGGTACCGAGTGCTCCTCGGAACGGTCATCGGCGCAGTGAGTGCCTGTACATCGTCAGGTACCAAACACTAAAGGTAGTCTATGAATGCTTTTCGTGGCAACTCAACACCCTTCCGCGGCTCTTTTTGACGGTTCTGCATGCATGCAGCATACATAATGTCCGTGCAGATCGTCCTACCGTATGGTAGACGTGACTAAACGTTTCAATTAGCCTATCCGAAGTATCGCGATCGTCGAAAGCCTCGTCATCCGCAGTGCTCGTGGTTGAGATAGCCTGTAGGCAACAGGTACAGTAGAGCTGAAGTACTGTCCTTTTCTTCCCGTCCGGCTGCCGCAAAAGGAAGTAAGACCGTTATACGCGTCCTAGAGGTCCGCAAGACGGTGGTGGAGATCATGAGTCCCGGTGGCGCATCTGAGATTCTGCGTAGCGATTGGAGAGTTGGTAAATCGCCCTCCGCAGTCATGGCGAATTCTACAATGATTGGCGACAGTAACGCATGTGAGTGGAAACGCCGCCTCACGATACCAGCGGACGGAAGGCGGAGACGAAGGACCTTCTCACCGACGCAAAATACCGATAACTCAACACGCTGATCGGTACTCGTACTCGTTGCCTGAACGACGCACGCATTCAACGGACGATATCGGTTTGGGACTGGGAACTCGAAGAGCCTCATGCACCATCCATGCTTCAACCTTGCTGGAAAGTAAATATGGCGGTGGGCGAAAGCTATGACGCAGGACGAGATCCACCTGTCTAAACTGCTCGTCAATGCATGAAGTTGCTGGGAAAAGCCTGGCCTCCATGTGGCTCGCTAAACACACAGGCTTCTTCCCTATACCATGACTCACCGCTGGAGTGATGCTTTTTCGATGAGCGGGCGGCTGCGGAAGCGCGTGATCTATGGAAATGTAAATGTGTGTGGCGAATATTTCGACAGCATTTACAGGATGCAGTAGCTGAAGTCGTGAACTAATCGATTCGAGCTGTTTCAATGGAAGGGCCGTTGTCCGAGTGGCAAGAGTCGCTAAGTGTTTCAATTATTCGCTTCGCAACAGCTTGACTGAAGCGGTCAAATCGGAGCAGCAGTAAGGCCGGCGGTGACCTGGCCGATCGATGGCGATAAAATGTAAGACGAAGCGGATTGAGACGGTAATGTTTGCCATCGGACACGAGCCCAATCGTGAACGACTGCGGACCCTGATAGTGATCAGTGACAAGCGTATTAGGTGTTGCTTGTAATCATTCGTCCTACGTCTGTGATGTTGACTGTTGAGGCGACCTTGCGCCACAGGGGAAACCGACGTTTCGCTTATGAGATCCCTGCAACGCATATCATTTATTGCGCATGTGACTCGGACCGTCCATGCCAAGCGCGTGCACCGCCACACATGGTCGAGTCTGCGGAATACTTACAATTAGGATGTATTGAATTTGCAATACCAGAGCGAATCGTTGGGCCCGGATGAATTATTTTAGGAGGTGCGTCATGCAGCTAGACCGCTCGCATGTCGACGACAGCTGCGCAGCTTGCAGTCGTGGCAGACTAACGTGGTCGTCCGACGAATCCGCAGCGCAGCAGTCGTGAGCCTGCACTCGATAGGGCTGCGCAAACCTGTGCGATGCGTCATAGCGATTCTGGTTAGCATCCATGGGTATCGCAGTTGCCTCCATCCCGCTGCGCGTTTGTATCGTCCTAGTGTCGTCTTGAGGACAGGTGTATAGAATCATGGGCGCTTAGTGTTGCAAAGGTCCACTTGGTGAAGAAGCCTCATTCTGATATCAGTCCATGACGATAGTAGCATGCGGGCGCGGAGTAAACAGTTCTGCAGGTCATGGGGAGTCATAGCAACGCATGATGTTGGTGGGTGCGAAGGATTACGCAAGGTGAGTTGTCTGATAGCAAAGTGGGTACCTGGAATTTTGACACCCTGAGAAATCATTGTGGGAGGCTCGGTAGGAAGGCGAACCCGATGAGCCACAGCGACAAGGCCCGAAGTAGTCCAATAAGGGCCGGGCATCGGGGTCAAAATACAAATGAGAACTGTGTGCCGAGAGATTACAAGGAGCGTGTTGACGGGAGATACCAGACTGTATGCGACCAAGGCGCAGGTATTCATGCACAGCACGGATACAGGCGTTCCGCCGGAGCCAGTCAAATTCAATGTGCGAGGTACTTGCGCTGCGAACTTGCTTTATCGAGCCGTAGTAGCTGCGAGCGGGGAGATCAAACCATGTAACCGCGACAAGTTACTTTGTTGTTGATAGTTTTCATCGAATCAAAACGGCGCCGGTGCAGCGATATGCAGCCGTAAGTGGGCCTTTCATCGACAGTACCATATGCCTTGGAAGACGACTGCAGACATTCGAAGTAGCGGTAAACAACGACGCACCCCTAGGCCAGCAACCTGGATAAGCTGTGAGACATTCGAAAAATTTTCACGGGCGGGAAATTAGCTTCGTACAGTGATCAGAGGGAAGTTCGAGAAGGGATCCGAGCGATAGAGTGCGGCTCTCAGCAGACGACAGGGCCTCCCTAGCAGTGATAATCGGTCCCAAGCGACGCGGGACGACGTTGAATGGTGGACCTGCCGCTGTTTCGGATGGAAGTATTCCAGCCAAAACCAGCCGTGTGCCGCGACGATGGGCCATTGTAGCGTTTGTGCTAGGCGAAAGGTAGTTTACGAATGGGGTAGGTATGGAAATGGTCGCGAGCTCAAAGCGACGTTGAGGTCATGTTTGGCGATCAACAAAGGCTATATGTTGCCCGGTAGCTGGTCGGTCGCGGCAGGATTGGCAGCGTACGACGCCCGTGTGAGAGGGTTCTGCGCCGGTGGCAGCATGTGCTCGCAGTAGGAGGAAGCACAGGCAGAATGGGCCGTGTTATTGCATCCGCGCTGTAGCGAGCCGCGAGTCCTGCCCAACGACGGATATGGAGGATGAAAGGCTAGAGTGGAGCTTTGTTGGCTGCAAGGAGGGCCGTTTGAAGAGAGTTCAGCAGCAAACGAAACACGCTGAAAACGGTGACAGCTGAATGCAAGGCGATGCTGCACAGCATGTGGCACAGCAAATGAAGGGAGTACTCTGTCGTGGTTGCTTACGCTAGCCATGCTCGAAGGGGCATTTTGCGATGGTGTCGAGGATTACGGGCATATAGCGGGCAACCTGTGTTTCCAATATTACACACCCAAAACAGAACAAATACAAAACAGGCTGGGCGCGCAATGCCCGGCGTCAGGCACCAAGCATGGTGGGCAGAGAGTGAATGGCCTCCCCCAACGCCTCTGTTTCTGGTCGGACTCAGCGCGCGCGAGTGCTCAGAGTCAGAGGCGGCTGGACAGGCAGTAGGGTTCGGGGCTAGCTTCCCAGAATACTCGTGGGCAATATGGGCAGGAGGCACAGCATGGTCAATCTGACCCGTAGATGAGGGTATGCTAACAGCCGGGGTCCCTTGGGCAGCTTCTAGTGGGTGCATGGCGCGACAGGGGGCTGCGTTAGGGCGGATGGGCACTGTGGTCCGCGCACGGCTACAGCGACGAAAGCGGGCTCGGTCTCAAAAGCAGGCGCAGCCCGCCGTCGCTTCCTCTTTTGCGCACTCGAGCATCATCACCACACATTACCAAGCATTTTAGACGTCAACGTCTACTTCGATTAGGATTCCATACTCTGGATCCTTCTGGCACCCTCTAGTAACTACTCGACTCGAAACCCAATGTGCAGTAGACAGAGCCGGATTTCCCTTTCTCTCCCCTCCGTCGCTGCTTCCACATCCACATCCGCCCGCTCCCAACGCCTGCGAAGACCCTCGTTCGGTTTGCATATTCCAAGGTGAAGCAGGCACCGGCCTGGGCTCCTTCCCCATCGAACCGTATACGCACCCAAACAACCACCACCCACACACGCACTGCGACATCCACCAAAATGTACGCACCACAGTATCCGACTCCTCCCCCGGGCTACATGCCCTACGACCATTTCCGCACCACGCCGCCAATGTCTCCTGGTCCCGGCGCCAGCTACTACTCTCCACGACACGCGCCTCAGATGGCTACCCCACGAGCGAGCCCCAAGGTTCAGGCCCACTCTCGACGGGCTTCGCACGCCGTGCCGCCACAGTACCAGAGCTCCTACGCTCCCTCACCTCGTGGAGGGGCCATGCCTCAGTATGGCGCTGCAGACCCGCGCACATACGCGACGCCGAGAGGCACCCCTGAATATGTAAGTTATTTCGGTTACAATATTCCAACAAGTCGGCATCGCCGCGACACAGACGTCCCGCCTCTCAAGCGCAGCAATCGCGAGAGGAAGCGTCGTCCGTCGCAGTCGGCACGTCACGTCTACACCAAAGTTGTCTACGACGACCGAGGCTACGGCTACGAATGCGACTACGACATTCACGACTACCCACCACCGCCATACGAGCAGTATGCGCGCCACGACATGTACGGGAGGGATGCTGATCACTATTACTATGATCAGGTCCCTATTTATGAGCCAGAGCCTAAGCCAAGCCGTCAACGACGCGCCTCTGCAGCCTCCACACGACAGCCAGCTGCCTCACCCAAGAAGCCTGCGCCAGCAGCCAAGTCCGCCCCCAAGGCCACCGAAGAAGACGCGCGCCGCGCTGGCATCCCCGCCGGCTACTCGTACAAGAACTGGGATCCCACTGAGGAGCCCATTATGCTTTTAGGTTCCGTTTTCGATGCCAACTCCCTTGGCAAATGGATCTACGACTGGACCGTCTTCCACTATGGCCCCGCAACCCCACTCGCCGAGATGGCAGGTGAGCTATGGCTCCTGCTCATCCAACTTGCCGGCAAAGTCAAGAGGGCTGACGAGACCATGCCCAAGATCCGCAAGAAGGAGAACCACGAAATGGTCGAAGACTTCCTAGAGAGTGGCGAACGCCTGTGGGTCCGCTTCGCTAAGCTCCTCAAGGTGTGCGAAGACTACATGTGGAAGGCCGCTAAGAAGGAGAGCGGCAAAGAGAAGCCCGTTTCCATGGGCAAGAACAGCGGCAAGGAGTTTGTCGAATCCATCTTCGGTCGCGACCGAGAACTTGAGAAGACCGAGAAGCTCATGACTGGAATGCGTCTCTGGTCTATGCGCTTCGATGCCAACTGCGAGGACATCCTTCGATACCCATCTGCTTAGGATCTCCTACCTTTCACACCTAGACGCTTTGGCGCTGGCGTTCTCTGTCTCGGTATACCCATTTCCATTCCCGTCATTGCTTTGCGCATTATTTGATGTTACCGCGAGATACCCTTTCTTGCATTTCGTAATTGTTAATCCTGCTGCACTTTCTTTGCTTTGCACGTTTACAATGTACAACACTGGGTTTTCTCACGCATCGGGCGGGTCACAGGAAAAAGTCTGCTTTCTACTATGATATCCCCCTTCTTACTTGTATTGTTTTTCAGCCAACTATTGTTACTTTGCTGTTTGGAATGGTTACGCATGGTGTTCAGGTTGTCATTTTTGGGGGTACTGGGATACCACTACACTTTGTCTTCTGGGTTGGTCCACTAGATTTGGGAGGTTTCTACGGATATCTCATCAGAAAGATCGGTACCTCACGGTCAAAACTAGTTATACCCACTTACCACTCTATTGCTATCTATCAATTTATTACACATTACTCAATCATCTGCTCACTTTGCCTTGCCCCATGTGACAAAAACCTACGTGATTCACAATCCTGCTCGCCTATCAAACCCACATGCGTCGCTTTTTCTCATACACTATCAAAGTTTCCAACGGTGGCGATCTCCCAAAGCCACGGCCCCTGCATAGCAAGCCACACATGGCATCTGAGACACAACCAACCCTATCGCACCTCAGGTCAGTCTCGGACATGTGCTTTTGCGTCTCCAACCAATTTCACATGTTCGCACACCCTCTTTGACACGTTTCCAGCCCCTCTGAGCCGCTGTCGCACTGTGAGTCACAGTCCTGTACTGCATCACCACCACGTGTATTGAGCCAACCGGCGCTTGCATATCCATCTTCATGACCTCATTGGCTGTTTTGGCTTATTCTCAGCCTTACCATAGAAGAAGCGCTGTGCATAGAAGCCTGCTGCAGGTTCAGTCAAAGAGGCAAGGCATGTTTTTTGCTTCTTTGGCCCCCATGGCTGAATGTGGCGGTTGTGCAGCACGGAGCGGGAAGGATTCACATGTCCAATCGAAGACATGCATGTGAGTTCGTGCCGCCTGGGGCCTGGCCTGACCCTTGAGATTGGACGAGCGGAACGACAGCGGTTTGCTATCTTGATATCATACCCGTGCCCGGTGTAGGAATAGGACAATGCTCACACTGTGTAAAGGAACGGTTGGGTTTGGGAAGAGTGCACAAAGTGCTATTTACGACTGCGCTGTGGGTGGTAAGGCCCAGAGCTTTGGGATGGCCACTTACAGCTCGCGCACATTGCATGCGCCGATGATATTGCGGTAATTCTAAGTCCCTCAAGGCAACATGCTCGGAGGTTACGCAGCGCGATGATGAAAGGCCCCTTAATTGCGGCCACATATGCGGCTCAACGTTATCAGCCTCCCTCCCTTCCCGTTGTGCAAAATGCCACGCCACCCATCCCATCCGTTCCTTAGCGCAAAGTCCCTCAAGATTAAGAGGCGTCGCATCATCCCTGGGCACGGGAACTCCTTTGATAGGCAACCTTGTCGCATTCCCATCATCCCCGGTCTTAACACGAGTTACAATGTGCAAGGGCATCCTGACATGGGTGATTAGGCAACAGTTTGAATGAGTAGCAGAATTGGCATCATCTGCGTTTTGGGATCGACAGGCACAGGGACGTCGTCGGGATGTTCGGATGGAAGGGTAGTGTGAGCGAGTGGGTGTATGACAAAGACGGGAGGTTGGAGGAAGGTTTCACGGGGTCTGTCGGCTGGGATTAGGGCCATCGCTTCCACGACGTCTGCTAAGTTACTGCGATTTGGCTTTTTGGTTTCGGTGGGTGTCACGAGTTGAGCGAGCGGCGTTGGGTTGCATTGTGTTGATTGGTGAGGATCACATCTTACTTCTTTTGGATGTGATACTTCCACGGCTGAATGCGTGGTACTCAGATCGTTTGTGGAAATCGCTCCAGTGAACGAGGAGCATTCTCTACTCCGAAGTATCAAACGCGATCGCTCCTCAACGCCCTGGGAAAGACTTCCAGATGACCTTCTCGACCCAGCAAACATTGCTGCATCTGGGCCTTTCTCCGTCGCATCGGATCGCATTCCGACGCAACCATACGACATCATTCCGCTAAACAGGCAAGCCCATCACATCACCATGGGCGAGCACTTTGTCTGGATCCCCAATCGCATCATTGCAGCAGGGTGAATCTGGGGTGCATGTGCAATGCTCGCAGAACACCTGATGTCCAGATTCCGGCTCACTAACAAACCTACCAGCAGTTCATGCAGCAGCCTGACATATACCGCACACTATCGGCCAGCAACACTACGGTGTTTCAAAACACATGGCCGGTGCGAGCGTGCATGAACCGGTCCCCTATTCCCTTCTTCCTATCAAGCAACCGAAGCGAAGCGAGAATGTTGGCAGCCGCGGCATGACGAAAGCCAGACTAAACCCCGCCTAGACCCACTTGATCAAGTTTCTCTCCACTTGGTACATCCACTTGTACCCCACTGCCACTCCGCGTGAACCGCCTTTGCCTATGTCACTGTCTGGCAACTTCCAAGGTTTTTGACCACAAACTGGGTGGGGTTACCTCCTGGATGAAGCCGGAGTGGAATCGAGATGGCTGGTAGATGGAGATGCCGTCACAAGATCGGCATTAATCGGTCAATGCGACATTGTTCATGTTGTGCGAGCATCGAGATCTCGACTGTTAGAAGTCACCTTCATTTTCGGAAGTGGCCGATGATAGCTTGTGTAGTGTTACGTCTAAAAGCACAAGGTGAGGGGTGTGGAGGGGTAAAAAGTTTGAGGCAGAGACATGCCACGTCTATACCGCTCTCTGGCGTTCAGGCTTGTTACATTGACGAATGAGAGATCAGAACTTCTGCATCGTGGGTGTGGTCAGCTGCACTTTTCTGTTTGCGAGAGGGTGGGTTTGGGCTGCCAAAATGAAGATTAAGCGCTCTATCCTCAGCGTGATTGGGGATCTTTTGAGAAAATGCCGTAGAAATGCGCGCTGAAAGGTAAGCTCGGATAGGCGTGTGCATGTATGAGTTTTCCAGCGGCACTTGCACATTGGACAACGCAAACTGCCGTTCTACATGAATATGAGACATAGGAATGACGGGTATGATGTAACTCAACGTCGCGCAAACATCTTCTTCCAGGACTTCTGCCTTTCTCAACCTGGCATGGAACACTGCCAAATCCACCCTTACTTGCGACTGGACCAACACCAAAAACAATCTCGATCCAAGCGCAACCGCCCATCGAGCAAGGGTAACTATCTCCCTTCCGTCTTCCACGTGCCCACCCGCCAGTGTCAACTCGTCACTCTGCATAAGCGCCCGAAAAACCCATCACCCCACCACCATCTACTACTCCTCTAGCAACACTTTCTCTAGCACATCTAAACCGCAGCAAGGGTTTGTCAAAATAGCCCTTTGTACATTACAACAACCCCTCCTTTGTTTGCTCATCATCCTTATCTATGGCAAGGTAGAAGTCCTATTTCTGGGCAACGAACTGCATGCACTGCGCATGCGAACACCCTTCTAGCGCGTGTTGTTGTTCTATTTTCGATAATCGTGCACATCGTGCAGTAGCGGGGTAGGACGAGGCTGCTCCGGCTTACATGATGTGTATTGTATTGAACTAACCTAATAGAGATGCAAGGGGGATATATTGTTACACGACAGGCAGTGTGCAAGGGTATAGTCAGCAATATCTCGATGTTGGTAATGAGAGATTGAGCATCAAACAACGAATGCCTTTGAGGACTTCTAGTTGAAATTTCTCGAGTCTTTTGTATTTGATTTCACCACGCAAATGCCAATCGAGTACCTATCACAGCTACCTCATCGCCTTTGGGACAAAACAGTTTACCAGACTCTACAAGTCGTAGCAATGGCAAGGATTCCTCATTGAGCCAATGACGTGGCAACATGAAATGTTTCTTCACAATGCCCGCATTCTCCACATTGTTCATGTGCTTCGAGGCCGCCGTGCTACCTGCAGTTGCAGGCTCGTCTTTTGCATATATGGATCCGATCTTCCAGGTGCAGATCCAGAAGTCTTGGTCAAGAAAGATGAACCTGTCTTTCGCCAGCACGCCGAGCGAGACTTCGACTAGTTTTGTGACTTCTTCTGGGATAAGACGGACTGCTGTGTCTGGAAACGATGAGACTGTTGCGTCGGTACTTTTTAGACGAAGGATTGAGTCAAGTTCAGAAACTCTCAGTATGATGTGAGATTGGGGTGCTGACTTCGTTGTTCTTTCCACAACGACGTGAGATTGGTCTTGAGCTAGATATGCATTCACAGTCTGGTAGTTCAAATCTGGAGAAGCTCTGGCTGCTCTTTGGTTTCGGTCCACTGGATGGTTCGATCCTGATGGTATGCGAGCCGTTTTATCGATGCTGTTGTTTATGTCGTCGTAACGTATGGATTTCGCTGCCTCCAAGCTAGCCCATGAGAAACGACTTATGCCTCCGTAATCGAAGGCAAGCAGTGATTGCGGATCGGTCGGATCATTAATCCAATGCTGACCTGTTTCGCTGTTTCCCTGGTATTGACTGATCAATATTTTGTCCTCTAGTGACCACACCTGTACAGCGTTTTGCCTGACCAGGAGAAGAAATTTTCCATCATGGCTGAATAGCAGTTGTTGAACAGTACCCAGTTCTGACGATATGTTGAGATTGAGAATTGGCTGGACATTCCACTTCACATCGCTGCCAGTAGAAGGTGGAGAGACCTGCTTCACGCTAACGTCTCCACCCAACTCTGCAATGGCAAGACGTTTACCACTGTTGTCCCATACCAACAAGTCTATCATCATATAACGTGGAGAATTCCACATGTTGAATATCTTCATGCCTTCCGCATTGAACAGATCGACCTCTCCAACCTCATTACCGGCACAGAAGAATGTGCTGTGCGAAGCCACAGCCAGAGCTGTGATTCTGTCCTCTTCTTCAACAACTTGGATAGATTCGTTCAGAGTCGAGATGTCACTCTGTGTTTCCCATTGATCCTCGGATTGGTCCCCCGTCTCCTGCAAGTCAGCGAGTGCAGCTGGCTCCCAGGCAGTGCATACGGTATCGCGTATCTCGTAAAAGCGACGGGAGTCAGGGCTGAATGTGAGCGCTCTTGGAGGCGCATCACACCTCAATTGATATAGCATAGCAAAGTTCTGGAAGTTGAAAAGGCGAACGACCCCGCTGTTGTCGCATGTCGCGAATGACAAGCCATCAGGACTACATCGGACCAAGCTAGCAGCCGTGCGTAGTTCATCGTTTGTCTGTTCGTATGGATCCCATTTGAATACACATCCGTCGCTGTACTTCCCCAGGATACTGCCATAGCGTGCGTTCCAAGATACGGTGTCGACTCCTGGCCAAATTATCCCATTGAAGCCTCGGCCTTCCACATAGCGAGAATTTCTTCCGATCATCCGGCGTTCTTCAATGGACCAAACTGATAGTGGAAATCCACGATATGCAACAGCGATCTGCGTACCATCGGGATTGAAGACCATAGCGCAAGGTGAATTGGCGTTACCTAGACTAGCAACATCTGATTCTTGCAAGGAACTCAATAGCTGCCATTCTGGTTGTTGAGCATCCAGCGCCAGCATTTGGACGGTCTTGTTCTCGCATGCCGCCAGTATTCTGGTCCTGTCTTTGCTGAACGTGACACCTAAGACTGTGGTATCATTAGGACTATTAACTGACAAGATAAGACGGCCAGATGGAATTTCCCAGATCTTCATACGCGAGACTCCACACGAAAGGTACCTTGTCCCAGTGGAATCAAAACAGGATGCTGTGATGTACTCTCCTTGAATAAGTGAAAGCTTCTTCTCGAAGTTGACAGAACTCCAGATCAGCGTCAAGCCATGTGATTGATGGTCCGTGGCGACTGCAGCGACATGACCACGAGAGCATATCAACTTTGACAGCCGGTGTCTTCTGACCGACATATGCGCAACCGAATCATCCCATTTCTTGTTGGTGATACCGGAGACTGATATGGAGCGAAATGTCTTCTGTTTTGCGAACTGACAGTGGACCATGGAGCTCTGGGGACAAAACTCCGGGATGAAATTATGGATGGATGCGGGGTCATACAAGAGAGTAGAACCAAACTTTCCCACAACCTTCACGAAGTCTATAGCCCAAAGGCGTAAGAGATCCCTCTGGTCTTCGTCAAGAGTAATCTCGAATCTTGAAGTTCTTTTGCTGCTAATGAGCTCCGTCAAAGTGCGCGAAGCGTATACGAGGACTTTGAGTTGTCGCAAAGATGCAAGGATGCGGATCCAAGTAAGCACATGAGATCTGCGCAAGAACTGTACCAGAGTTAACAAGGCTGCGGAGCTGATACGCTTCGAAAGACCCAGATGGTAGGACCAAGATGTTGCCGCGTAGTGAACGAAGTCGCGTTTGAGCTCTGCATTAGTCTGATTGAGTTTGCTGCGGATTCCAGCGTCCATCAGACAGGCCATACATTGACGGAAAGACTCAACGTGAGTCTCATCAGCATCGATAAATAAATCCAACTCAGATGCATGCGTAAGATAGTCACGCGCAGTCTGATGTATCATGGTGACGTTCTCGCTCATGTCCACGACAACGAAGAAGCCACAAGTTGCAGCGATGGTGCTACGTAGATCGAGGATCCTGTTGAAAGAAGGCCGGAGCGCTTCTTCCAATTCCTTTAGAGTGAGAGCTCGGCGAGCAAACATCGCCCATGTCAGTATGCGCTGCGCAAGTTGCTTGTCTGTGGGACCCATGTCTTTAGCTATGTCAATAGCCATGCGATGGTACATAGCTTCCATGCCAGGAGGCATGTTTTCTAGTGCTTGTCTGATATCATCGCTAGTGTGACGTTTGAGAACCTCTTTGATGGCAAGGTGCACCCAGAGAAAATTGCCTTCTGCGCGTTCCAAGATCCTGCCCGTCACTTCTATCTTGAAATCCTCATTCCATCTCGGTGTATTCATACGGCTCTCGACGTAAGCTTGAACATCACGCTGAGATTTGGATGTTATGGGAAGAATGTCCACAGGCACTGAGTTTCCCAAGTTGTCAAACTCAGAACGAAGTTCTGGAGTGTCGCGGCTCATTACCAATAATTTTATCGGTATCGCTGATCTTTGCAAGCCTTTAAGTAGACTCAACAACAACTGGGGTAAATCGGCTTCGTCCAAACCATCTATAACCCAGTACAAAGGGTCGGCTTGCCGTAATGTTGGAAGTGCATTGGAAAATAGTCGGTTCCAGACAGTTCTAGCATCAGTCTTCTCTAAACGCAGCCCTTCTTCCGACAAGTCTCTCAATCGCCTCCGATATTGGGGTATCTCCTGAGATAGTTGGAAGGCCATAGATCGGAGGCAACCATTGACCGTTCGCTTGGCTTGCTCGCTGAATCGGAAGAAGTAATATTGACACGTATGATTCTGTGCCTGGATTTCATCGATGATAAAAGATGAGAGCACAGATTTACCACTAGCCGGAAGCGCATGCAACCATAGTATCGAGCTTTGGGTGGTATCTTCCATCCAGTTTTGGAACGTTTTCTCCTGCAGTATCCATTCACAAGTACCTGGCATCCATTGATCATGAAAGAAGCTGTAATCGTCGCTAGGTGGATCTTGAATGGAGAGGAGGGCCTCTAGGGCTTCTGAAGCGGAGGAAGAAGCGGAGGAAGACCTCCTGAAGCTGATTCCCATCGTCCGCACACGATCTACCAAAGTCTTCAGGACATCTCGCATGCTAATGTAGTTGGTGTCACGAGGACTATAGTACTTGCATACATCGTGGTGATCTGCGTTCATAGCTCTTGATATTTCTCCAGGATATCCTAGGATAGCAGACTCCTTCTCCAAGATCCTGACCTTTTTGGGGCCGACAGCAGTTTCGAGCGTCTCATAGAAAGAGACAATCTGAAGTTTCGGAGCGAACTTACGAAATTGCTCATTGATGTCCTCTAATGCCGGTGAGTTTTTCTGCAAGTCTGCGACGTACTGTTTGGGAGAGTACCTCAAAAGCGAGGCTGAGAGTATACGATTGAGTATTTCGGCCAGGTTTGAGCCGCGGTGCGGTGTAGACAAGAACATGATGGCGTTGACGGACTTGAGCATTTCGGAGTATTCGTCGTCGCTCTGGCCTAAGATGTAGGCTTTTTTGACTACAAGACCTCCCATAGAGTGAACAATGAAGATGATTGGGACATCTCCAATACCCAAATCTTCCAGGTCTCTATTCTCGTCTTTGGTGAATCTCATAGCGAACAACAGCTCTTTCGCAAAATCTGTGATGTTGAGTACTGTGCGTGACGAAGTCGACTTCCAGTCTGCGTCATATCCGAACGATAGTATCCGTGCTGAGCCAATGTCGTTTGGAAGCCAGAGATGGGGCCAAAAGTAGTTCGGGTCATGATCCTTGGACCAGGTAGAGTGACTCGACCCACCCAAGCCATGGACAAGGACAATATCTAAAGAATGACCGTGCTCGGGTTCATAGATGACGGTAAGCCCTAAGGGATTCATGCGTCTTTGTTCGGAGTTAGACCTGGTATGGGATCCATTCGATACAGCAACAAAATTTGAAGTAGTACTTTGGAAGCTACCTGAGCGATGTCCAGATCCTATTGAGCTTGGTGGAGGGCTTAGATTACTGCTGCGACGTCGTTCCGGATCAGTAGGAGTCGTTGAGATAGCCTGGTCGCTACTCTGAAGGCGCCCCCTCCCAACTAATTCCTGGGAAATACTACTACTACCATTGTGTTGAAGGCTAGTTTCTCCATGTGGGACAACATCGATCTGAACAGATGCCGGCTTCTGCGCGCCAGCGACAGTATCTAAAGGTACTATGTTTCCATTGAGCTCTAGTCCTTGGCCAGTATAAGCAGTTTCGACCTTCGGAGCATAGGGCACTGCTTGTGTCGAGCTGCTGATCTGTCCATCTTGACTGCGGCCTTTGTACTTGTTGCTGATCTTTTTCCGTAACTATAACAAAGTTAATCTGACCTTGTCGCAACACCGATGCGCCGGCGTCAACTTACTCGATCCATGACTGGATTCTAATGTCCCGCGCATCCACTCTGCGTTGTGTGATGGACGTTGGGAAGTATCCACACTCTAGGCTTCGGTGGAGAAGGCTGGATAGACTATGTGGATCGTGGTCAGAGACGGTGCGACGAACGGCTGGGGCTGTGGGTATCAAAGTCCCCACCGGAGGCGGTGCAGTTATCACGGGGCGAGTTTCAGCCGCTCGCCAGATCCAGAGAGCTATACGTGGTACTTCAGGCATCTGCGTGGGTGCTTTGCCCTCAGTAACGGGCTAGTCTGGAGCGGGAAGTATCCCACCAATTACAGCCCCTATGGCCATCCCGCGGACGTAGATAGCACAAAGTGAGGAAAAGAACAGCGTACTTGCAGTCGTTATCGCCTAATGATGCAGTGAGATTCCATGACCCCGCGCGAGTGACCAATGGTCTAGTGTTTACCACGAGGCTGAGTCGCGCCTTTATGCGGCATCTTCGGCTAAGTCGTACTCGAAACAGTGCCTCACCCTCTACAGCGAATAGAGGGCCTCTTTAGCCGCTGACCGGAAGCGCCACTCATACGGGTGTTTGCATGTAACAGGCACGTGAGTTATCGTGGGTACTTTTAGTTCACATGTTTGTATAACAAGAAGCTTTGCTCTTAGTCACATACAGAAGATCCTAAGAGCTCCACTTTACTTTTGCCCGACATGTCGAAATCAGTACACTCAATCGCAAAGAAAGAAGGCCCAAGCGCCGGTAATGAGGGTGACTTTCCTCTTGATGAGGCCGTGGTCCAAGGCAAGTCCTTACAGGGTTCATAATATGATTAGAGCTCACAGCCTTGTACAGCTCTACCAGAGGGCAGCAAAGTTCTGTCTGCGCACAGCTATGGCTCCTCTGCGTGGACTATTACAGCCCGTCTGAACGTTTTGCTTCCTAGCGGAGTTGAGAAGAAGTTCTTCCTCAAGATTGCGACCGAAGAGCCTGGTCGCGTGATGATGGAGGGAGAGTTCAATTCCATGAGCTCTCTCTACCAGACTTCGCCAGGATTTATTCCCAAGCCTCTGACTTGGGGTAAATTCAAAATGAAGGCGCCAGAGACGTACTTCTTCCTATGCGACTTCATCAACATGACCAATGACATGCCGGACCCCGTCCAGTTCTGCGCCAAGCTTGCAGAACTCCACAGTACAAGTGAATCTCCGACTGGGATGTTTGGTTTCCACATCTCTACTTGTCATGGCAGGTTCGCTCAGGAAGTTGCTTGGGACCCGAGTTGGACGAACTTCTTCACGAAGCTGCTTCGAGCTGCTCTCGTCATCGAAAAGCAAGAATGTAGTCCATGGCCGGAATTTGAGGCAGTCGCAGAGCGCACACTTAGCCATGTGATCCCAAGGCTTTTGGGCGCGCTCGAAGAAGATGGCCGTCAGATCAAACCATCGCTCATCCACGGAGACCTTTGGGAAGGTAATGTCGGGACAGATCTTTCGAATGGGAACGTCTATATTTTCGATGCTGGCGCATATTACGCTCACCATGAAATGGAGATTGGTATGTGGCGATGCGAAAGGCATAAGATCAAATCGCGAGAATACAAGCGACAGTACCTCCGGAACATGACTGTGAGTGAGCCGGCAGAGGAATTTGAAGACCGCAATCGTTTGTACTGTATCAAGATGAACATCATCCATTCGGCGCATCATCCTGGGTCTATCGTTAGAGAAACGTAAGTCGCATTTATCAAGATCGAATGGCAGATTGACTCACATGATCATAGGGCCTACAACGACATGTGCTACCTAGTCGACAAGTACGCACCATACCCGACAGGAGAAGAACCTCCGCGAAGTAAAGTGCAGGGCGAGGTACCTGCAACCATATGGCAAGGAGGAGATAGCTATGTTAGGCAGGCAGACAATTGGAACAACCCAAATACTCCCGCATTGTCGGTGTAGACCTGCGTCATATTGATAATTCCCAAATATACCATCAAGTTCAGCAAAAGTCCTCGATGTCATCACTTTGATGACTGGTTCCGACTTTTCTGTCTCCAATCTTTTCCAGCGTGTTGTAGTAGAAATGCCATAGGCACTGCTAATAAAGTAAGGCCTATCAACAATGTGAAAGTCCATCCAGTTCCTAGCTTTGAGATGATAGCATCTAAGGCTGCTAGAGCTGCGGCGGCAAGCAGGCAACGGAATAGATTGGCAGCTGCACTAGCTGTTGCGGGGCGGATCGGATTGACATCGACAAGTAAAGTGCCGCAAGCGTTGAATACCCCGGTGATCGAGGCACCGATGAAGAACTGGAGAACCAGAGGTATGGCGAAATGCGTATGCGTATCCAAAGCCCATCCGTACCCAATGGTGGTCACAGCTGCAGCACCCATGTAGAAATACGTGGCGCGCAAGCGAGCCTTCTCTATGGGAAATTCCAGGAGGTTATCACCGCATGTTCGATCGATTGAGAAATCCAAGCTTGAAGCGACTCTCCGATACTCCCAGTCCATGACATAGCCTGCGTTGTCAGCTCCCACACTATGTGTATATGACGTGTGCTACTGACCGCAAGTATAAGAAGCCAAAGCGCAACCGACTCCGAATGGAATATATATTAAGCCAGCGTATAGTTCCTCGAAGCCATAGATCGTTATGAAAAGGGTCGAAAGTGACGCTTGAACACAGCAGTAAGTCATGTAGAACAACCCGTTGATGAGCATAATCAATGCGTTCTCTTTCTGCCAAAGGGCTCTGAAACATGGTTTGAGGCTGGGCATTCTCGTCCGCTGAACATCCGTTGAGCCCTCAGAACTTGCTGTTGATGATTTGTTCAATTTGAGCTTCATGTGAGTCAAGTAAGACCTGTTAAGAAGACGTGTAGGCATAATCGACCCATTTCCGACGATCTTTCGAGCGGTCTCTGGGAGCGTAATGGCGAGTATGCAGAAGTTGATGCCGGACAATATCGCAAGCGTCCAGAAGATCCAAGGCCACCCAGCGTATTGTACGAGTATGCCTCCCAGGACAGGACCGAGACTGGGTGCTACGTTCGGGCTAAGGTGTGATATTTAGAACAGTCTCGTCATCTTTGGCACATAGTCATAGCATACCCGAGTAGGACTGCTCCGATAAACCCGCCTCGTTCAGCAGGCGTAGCAATGTCACTGACGACGGCGTAGCCGAATGAAATCGTTCCTTAATGGTGCATATATCAGCCAAAATGTTTTGGCAAAAATGTTCTCATGTACTCACCACTTGAGCCAGCACTCTGCAACATCCGCAGTACAAGCAATGCTGGATATGATCTTTGAACGGCCAAACCCACATTGGCAATGGTATATATAAGTATAGCGAATAGAAACAATGGTCGGCGACCCATGGTATCAGCCATGTCACCCAGTATTGAAGGCGCTATTCCAGATACAACCATATAGGTCGTGATTGATAGATTAGCCATGGTGAGTGTAATTCTCAGATCGTGCGCAAGATCGTACAACGCCGGATAGTAGATGAAGCTACTGAGAGGAGAAAAAAGTCCAGCGTATGCGACGAGGAAAACGACCCACCGCTTTTCGCCACGGGTGAAGATGGAGTACGGTGCTGTGTCTGGTGGCTGGTCTTGCGCTGGAGTACGAGGGACGACTGTAGCCTTTTCGCTCATAATAGGCGAATCTTGGATAGCAGACATAGCGATTGCGACGGTAGAAGTTTAAGACTGCAGTACAGTCAAAGAAAGTAGAGTGCTGTTCCTCGATTGGCCCCCGCGGATAACGATATACCGATTGGCGGCAATGCGCTGCAGCTGGCTGGTCGCCATCTTCCTGGGTATCGAGCGAGCCAACCATATGACATCCGGTACATATGCCTATATTCAGAGCGGTCCTCAAACAGGCGGACTGCTATGCGTATGCGAACCCATCGCCGTCGGGACACAATTTAGTAGTACCGGCTCACTGGGCATACTCCGCTAGACAATCAAGAATGAGCGACATAAGGCGTCTGTTAAGGCTGCCACCCAGCATTAGCTGCAGATCCGTCATACGTACCATGCGCGATCCACGACGACCGTGGCATGCCACGATGTCTAGGTATGAGTACTCTTAACTGTGCGCTCGATAGACAAACTGTCATTTCCCAGCCACCACAAAATGCCCCACTCAGCACGCGCGTTAGCGCGTATCGCCAATACCAACGCCATGAAAGGAAGAAGGCACACCTACTTACCATGAAGAATGGTGCAACTACATGGAACATGTTTGAATAGGACAACGCAAAATCACGTACTTGAGAAGTAGAGACCCAATCGCAGCATATGGCGTTTTATGGGTCATGAGCATCACAATGTTCAGATAGCGCGGCAAACATATGACATGAGCTGTTTGTACAAAGAGATAGGTTTTTATGAGTAGTAAGAAACCCTATCCTTAATCTTCTTGATACATTGACAAAGTAGGTTGCCATGCATAACATCAGGGTATGCTATACATGATGGTACATTTCATGAACGAAACAAGCCTCTTCATATGTATGTGTTCATGGTATTCGCTAAACTTAAGTGTAGCTAGTCTTTCCTAGAAGCGACTTTTCCTATCATCTATTGATTGTGATCCTTCATCCAACGTCATCTCTATTAATCCTAGTGGTGAAGCATCTCGTGCAAAGTGCAGACGGAGACAAGGAGCATCACACCTTTGAATGCCACCGCATATCCGTACAGTCTAGAGAGATTCCCAGCCTGTTGTATAGACCGCGTATACGTTAACACTTACTATGCAGCGCTATCTCTTAGCCGTTGCTGCTCTTCCTCCGTGAGCTGACCGAACTCTTCAGCAAAGCCCTGCGTGGTCGCCGCACGCTTGAAGAAGTCGACCAGGAAGCCTTGAGTCTCATCGTCGCGCTGACGACCACCGCCCGGCTCCTCAGCGGCAAACGCCATCAATTGCTCTCTGCTAAAGCCACTGCCAAGATCGACGAATGGATTCACCTCATCCTCCCAGTCGTCATCACCAGAATCTTCTTCGGCGAGCTCAGCAGCAGCTTGTGCGTCGAGGGGTGCGCCAGAGGCGGACTGAAGTTCGACGACGAGAACTTTGAGAATCTTAAGAGGGGCAGGAACTATGGTATATTTGTCAGGATCTGATTCGAGCGTCAGTTTGTGGATGGAAAAAAAGGGATTCGCATTGCTTGGTTGCAAGAATGACGCGATAGCCTACAAGCATGCTCCACAACATGACACTCATCGAGCGCAGTAATGACAATGTAAAGGTAAACAAGAAGACATATGATGGAAGAAGCTTACTGTTTTTCGCACGACTTCTGGTCATGATGCGACCGTCATTGTTTGGTATCAAGTCGCCCTGCACTTGCACCTGTGCAACACGAGGGTCCTTCAAATCATACAATTTCGACAGGGCGATAACACTAAAACACATGGTCAGCAACAATGTACGATTGATAAAAGTTAGCGGGAGAGGGGGGTTCAATTTATTCCAAACGGTCTGAAGCCTTCCGATAGGCAATCTCCGTTCGTATGTGAACTGCTCGATCTCCGGAGAGGTTCGTACGTACTTTTGTCGGATTTCATCATAGCCGGCGAAGTTGATTGAGTTCTCGAGCCACTTCGCTAGGACGACTTGGAGGCCGTTTTGACCTTCGATATCCTGGCCGGCCAGGAAGTCCACGACTTCCGAGGCGTGATTCAAGCTCAAACGCGCAAACACGAGCGTCAGACTTTGAATGAATTGAGCTTGTCCCGCTTGTGCAAGACGGACTGCGACACTTCGCAAGAGTTGCTCCAGGTAAGGACCAAGTCTTTCATGGCCAGCCTTCTCCACTACTTCGGCGGCAAGTGCACCGACCTCGCCAGCAGCGTGATCACTGCACGAAGACAACAGACGCGAAACAATAATGAGAGTGACCTCGAGGCCAGCCTTGCCAGTGTCGTCCCGCCATTCGAAGAGTTGTTGGTGGTCGTGCGAGATGATGTTCTTTACTGCAGTCGTGGCGGACTTCAGCAACTCCTCATCGGTGGAGCCCAGAAGCACTCGTGTAAGTTTTGGAATGGTCGTCGCAACGAACCCAGCAGGAAGTGGTTCTGGTCCATGCTCGGCAAGCACGGCAAGGAGATCGGCAGCAAAGTTGCACAAGGCGTTCTCCTCCGTCAAACTTCCTACGTCGAAAGCGCCCATGAGTGATGGAAGGACCCTTGCGCAAAGTTGGACGTATGCATCACCACCCATTCGCGCAATGGTCTCGGTCACCTCTTCGAATGCCTCGGTGACTAGCATGGTGAGTTGAAAGTTGTTAGCTTGATGACTGGCAACCCGGAAAAGCGTATCGAGACCGTTATCTGTAATGCATATCCGTGTATCAATGAGTATAGCATCTCGCAGTGTTTCGACTAGAGTAACCATGAGATCCTCACTGTCGCTCAGCTCTGACATGTCTTGCGCGGCAAGGTAATTACTGATAGCCATGATGATGGTGTTCTGTATTGGCTGTGTGGTCGCGTGTGGGAGCGCCTGGAGGTAGTATTGCAGAGCTCGAATACACGATACTTGGACAACGTCGGACTCGTCAGATGGAATGGCCTGCAGAGATGCCTCAAGGAATGAGGTGCCAAGCTGCTGCAGAGCATCTCCTGATGTTCTTGTCAGACTCCCGGCGACTAGGTAACCGCGTGCTCGAAGGAAAGCGTCGGGCTGCTGCATGGCATATCGAATAAAGTCGACGTAGCCGCTCGCAGTATCCGGACTGATCTGCTTCTCTACGTCTTGGAAGTCACTCAACAGCTGGTTCAGCACATAGAGCGCAGCCTCTTCAGCTTTCCAGCCCTTGGACTCGGAATATAGCGCTCTTGTGTAAGTCAATAAGCCGTTGACGGTAGGTTCTGTGAGCCATTCGCCAAGCTTGATAACGAGATCACCACAGGCCGTTCGGGGTGTGTAGTTCGCCGTCACACTCGTCTCCTCGCTCAGGAAGATGTTTACATCCACATCCCAGAGTCCCTCCTCTTCAGTGGTAATTTGCGCGTACGCCACAGCCAGCTTCATGACCTGGGTGACCCATGAATTTTCCGGCGCCTGGTTCTGGAGTTCCTGTTCGAGTTGTGCGCGAACCGGAGGTGCGCGGAGGCACGCCTGCATGAAGTCCAACTCTTCAAGGATTAGGAAGTCCAAAGTATACGGCAGACCATCGCCATCTTCTAGCCTGCTTTGACGATCTTCTTGAATGTACATGAGAGAGTATGCCGGTTCAAGCAACGAAAGCTCTTGCCAGGTGGCCTGGAATAGGACGATACTTTGTGGCGATATGATGGCAGGAAAGAGGGACCGTATGCGCATAAGTACCTGTTAATTGTTTAGTACTGCAAGGTATGCAGTGGATCATACAACATGACTGACCTTGACACACTGTAGCTTGAGAGCGATCTGTCCTTTGTAGAGTGAGGCATTCGGTGTATCCTGGTCTTCTTCTTCTTGCGACGGCGGGTCAGGGAGCCTAGTGTTCAGGACGTTGACGAAAAAGGGAATCCATTCCTTGAGTATCTCGTCGGCAAAGCTCTTGACCATGGCCTTGTGATCCTCCAGCACCAACTCTAGTATGTCGAAGCAGCCGTGGAAGACTTTGCAAGCCAAGGCCCGCATTGTCGGCTTCCTCTGGTCGTTGGTGGCCACATCGTACAGGACCTTGATCATCTGAGGCGCTACGGCAAAGAAGGTCTGTTCGTTGAACGAGTCTTCGACCAGCTCGCCGAGGACTCTGAGAGCGCCATGCAGCTGGCCTTCTGTCGCGTTCGGTATCAGTGCGAGGAGATTGTCGAGAAGATCTGGCCATTCGATGGGGTAGTCGGCGCTTGCGATCTTGCTGACGACGAGGCCTGCGGCGGCCTTGAGCTTGCGGTCAAGCTGGTCTGACGTGGCGAGAGTGAGCAGCTGTTGCCGTAATATGGCCTTGTTCTCGTCTGTGACGAGCGCCTGCCCTTTCCATTCGTCGATGCTGGAGCTCCAGCCTGCCAGCACGATGTTCTTTATGTACAGCAGGGCAGCCTGTCGGATGTTGAGAGGTACGCTCTCATGGCAGGCGATGCCAATGAGGCCCAGCGGGAGCTCCTGGTGGCCGTAGAGGGAGAGGAGCTGCTGCTCAGCGTGTTTGCGGGTGTCCTCCTGGGCGGTTTGGGTCGCTGACAGCAGCTGGACTAGTTGGTCCTCCATGTTCAACGTGGGGCCTGCGCGTATAGAGCTAGTCGGCACGTCTAGCGCTCCCCAAAACGGCTGGCGAGCAAGATGGATCGATTGTTGACGCGTTTGTTGATGGGTGTTGCTGGGCGATTGAGCACGAGGAAAAAGAACGCGCCCGGAGATGCGGGGCAACTCCGTGAATCTCTGGGTGGTGGGGTGGGTGGCTAAGCGGATGCTATAACTGAAGCAATAAGCCTACCAGGGCTGACGGATGCATGTACCGTGGGGATGTCGAGGGAAGAGGCTGTTTGGGAGCACCGGCTGAGTTGCAGCAAGGGAGGAGGTGGCCAATTACCACGATGCGCTCCGATGGGCGGTGACGACGATGCTTCTTCCCGGTCGTGGGAAGGAAACGCGACACCTGGGCGGCTCAACAATGCCAGCGGCAGTCAACACAGCATACGCACGACATCTGCCATACCCATCACCAGCCATTCATCGATACGCT